ACGATGATATTCTTTTTCATTTCAAATGTGTCCCCTTCTCTACCTCTGTCTCGAATGTTTTAAATAATCATCCATTGACAATATGCTTTCTATTGTAAAAATTGTCTCAATTTATCTAATATCATATGTATTCAGATGGCCCTGTATGGTGCTCCTATGTCTTCAGCTCCAATGCGGGACCTTCTCTCCAGTATGAGATTACCTCAACGGAGTGATGTATTTGTAAATAAGTCAGCCGTAATAGGTGTGTTTGACTTCATTTAAAACAAAACAAAACAACAAAAACACAACAATCTTTGGAAATTTCTTTTTTTTCTCATTTTTGCAAAAAAAAAAACTTAAAACACAATGCAAAAAGATTTAACTAGACGATAAATTGGAATTTCAGTTTCAGATAAAAAAGTTTATTACTGCCAACGATGTCTAAATCATCAACGGGCAGAGCCCCGCAAGAATCATAAGGTTGGTATCGGATTCTAGCATATCATACTCATGTGCTTCTTATCTTTTTAGTGCGATTGCCCATATGCTAATTGTACTTGTGAATTTTGCATTCTTGTTGAGAAGCGAAGAGAATTGAATACTAAACTACAAGAGTTAGAAGGATCAGACACAGTCGAAATACAATCGCCGGAAAAACCTCCAGAAGATGATGAAGAAGATAAAGCTCTTAGGACCAAAGGTGCGCTTCTTATCTTTATTCTCGAAAACGAAAAAAAAAGAGCAAAAACGGGGATAGAGGATAAAGCTTAAGCTTCTTATCATTCTTGTGAATTACAAAAGACTAAAATCCGGATGGGTTTGTTGATTTCTAATATGATTTTCCATATGACTTCATCCGTAATATTCTGATTGAAACATATCACAAATACAATCAGCCATCGACTGTTGTTCACATCTTTTCCAAATATGCAAAAGCTTATATCTTCTGATGATTTTTAAACTTCAAAAAGCATTATAATCTTTTGAAGATTTTCCCTTTCTATTATGAAAAGTTAAAATGTGATATGAGGAAAGACCAATTACCATGAGAGGCCTTGTATTCAATATCTCCCCCCCCTCTCCCCTATAAGAATCGCGGAGAAAGTAAAAAAAAAGTTTTTTAAGTTAAGCTCCCCCATTGAAAACGCAAAACAACAACTTTATTTTTCGTTCTTGTCCATTACATTCCCCTATATACTTCATATTTAGTTCTGAACTCTTATTAATTCATTAAATTCCATAACAAACTGTTTGTTCATCCTATCCTTATTTCCTTACTCCTTCCTTTCATTTGTCTCTTCTAGTCTAACTTCCACCCCCTTACTCTCTCATTCTCTCCACATCCTTCTACTTCCTATTTTACATGAATCTCTGCATTCTACTGCTTCTACAGCTATTTTTAAGACATCAACCTTCTCTCCTATCTCGATACATTACTATTTTTGTCTCGCTTCAGCTTCTCAGCTAATAACGAACTTGGCCTTAGATGGCCAATGTGGTAAACATGTGGTCGACAGGCTGTGAAAAACAACAAATTGCAAAAATTCAGTAGTAGCCGTAGCATTTGGTTATCGATGACGACGTTGTCATCAAAGCTCTTCTTGAAAATTTTGCATGAGCATGAAGAAGAGAGGGGAGGAGTGAGATAGATAGAGAAAAGATGGCATCATCACAACTTGATTGTGAACGTTCAAGGAAATGTATATACAACACAACGTATAACATATAATGTGTTTGTGTGTTTTAGTAAATATTCCGAACAATTTAATTGTTTTTTTTGTCTTTTGGGAATAAAAGTGATGTCGTTTCTGTGATGTCCACTATACAACGGAGAGGCTAAGTACGGAAAAGTTTCAAGCTGAAAAAAACAAGACGAAGAAGAAGAAGAAGAGTTTGAGCAACCTTCTCTCTCTCTCTCTTTCTCTTTCTCTGTGTCTTTCCATCTACACATCTTCTCTTTTGGCTTTTGTTCGCGAATGTGTCATTTTTCTGTTTTGTAAAAAGATTTTCAAGACACAACAGAGTGGACAACATCCATGAGCTAAGAACCATCTATGACGACGTTGTAAAAGAATTCCTAATTAGGAACAGTTTACATGATGACGTAATAGAGAAAAAATGATAATTTTTTTCGAATCATTGACTTATATACTAATGAATAAGATAGGTATGAAGATGAGAGAGGGGAGGTGGCGAGATGAGGTTGCCTTGAGAGGGAGAGAGAGGAAGAGAGAGAGAGAGAGAGAGAGAGAGAACGAGAACTTGGATGAAAATGAAAGAAATGCAAGTTTGTTTAGATTAAAAGCTTCAATAAATACAATGAAGCCTATAAAACAAAATTATGTAATATAGGTTTTGTTGTTTGAAATAAACAGAATGTTGTGTTGGTCAAGCACGAAGACATACGAGACAGGCAAATCAAGGGTAATCGTACATAACTTCTATATTTAGTTGGCCACAAAAAAAGAGAAAAAAAGCCAAATCTGATTAGAATCTGTGAATTGTTGTTTTGTGTGTGAATAGCCCATATTACTGATAAACACTGTATTAAATGGCTGACATGTAAAATATCCTTCAACAAATCGCCATAAGACGGCTAAGATGAGAGAGAGAGAGTGAGAGAGAAAATAAAAAACATTTTTTTTGCGAAATATCTTTGAAAAGAAAACAAAAAAAACGATTTGTAACTTTTAAAAGAGAAAGAGAGATTGGAGATTGAAGATGAAGTGAAGAAACAAAAAAGAATTTGAGTAGCATCAAGATGTTTCTATTTTCAAATATTGAAATGTTTGAATTACAACCGGTCAGCCTCGTCTCGTTTCATATAAATGATTTTCAAGCATCACGTCATAATCGCGTGAACTTCTAATTTGCATATTACAAGAGTGCAGGGGAGGAGGGAGGAGATTAGTGCTGAAACTTTAAAGAATTAATATATGTTAATATGATAAAGAAAATAATATCTTTTGATTAATAATTGTTGAAGAATAATAAAGTAGAACAAAAAAATGAATAAAGAAAATGAAAAACGGCAATAGAGAGAGAGAGAAGGGGAGAAGGAAACATTGAATGATTGAGGAAGGTGATGAAAAAAAAGTTTTTCGGCTCCAAGACATTATACTTTGGATAGAAGGTTTGTTCATCTCATCCACATCTTCCCTGTTGTCCTCATTTGTGTTTTTTCAATTTGACAGCTTAACTTTACCAAAAATCCAAAAGTATAAGCGATGAAAGAACATTCCGCTAGAATCATCATCATCATCAATTCATTCTTTTAAAACATTCTTCTTGTATAATTATAAAAGGTTTTTTTGCTTCCTCATCTTCTTTATACTCCTTATACTCTCATTCAGTTAGACTCATCCTGTTCATTCTTCATACAACCCCCCATCCTCCTTCCATCTCTCCCTCTCTGTCTTTCTTTCTCTCTCTTAATAACTTTTATTTTTCATAAAACAAATAAATTTGAATTTTGGTCTAATGAAAATGCAATTAACTCACAAGTTTCATTTCATTTTCGTCATCTTTGTAGATCAGTTTTCCTTGAAGAATGTGTTAGTTATATCTCAATTCTAAGAGAATGTATTGCATCTTCCTTTTCACTAACTTCCCCTCATTCTATCATTCTCTCTTTATAATTTTCATTTTTAATCAACAATCTTTCTGTTTCTCATTCTCCTTTTTAGGAAAAAAGAAAATGTTCGTCTTTCATATCTCCATTTGACTTACTCTCTTTATCTTCATCCTCTTCACACCCCTCATCTTCCTCTCTCTCTCTCTCTCTCTCCTACTGTCTTCCTCTCTTTTTCACTTTCTCAATCTTTGTCCCTCTCACTTTCTTACAATTTCTTTTTAAGACAATTTCAATAGCAAATTGATATTGAAACAAGAGAATAAATGGAAGAGCATGGATTTACGCTTCGCAAGAATCTTTATTCTCTTTCATTTGCAAATGTAAAAATATCTGAAAAACATGAATATTAAGCCTTGCAAAACTTTAAATTCCAAAGATAACTTAAGTCGTCTCTCTCTCGTATCTCTCTTATCCAGTTGACACCGAACGTCTTCTAATTGAAATGCATAACTCTCTTTAAGAGAAATAATAATAATAATCTTCGCCAAATGACAATGTAACACAATGTATTTCAATAGACTATCTCCATTATTAATGCTATTGTTCACTGATATTTTCAAATCCTGAAACCTTTGACTAGTCTTCGATCACAACCCTCTATTGGATGATCCCAATGATCCACGCATGCTCAACGTGTACGTGTACGTGTGTCAACTCATGCACATCCTGTTTTGGCCATCTCACCTTCTTAGGTCATCACCTTACCTGAAAAACAACTTCTACTAGTAGATATCAACTTTCACAACATCGAACAACTTTTTTTTTAATAGTTTTGTATTTTCCACCCCTCTGTTCCAATTTTCTACTTCACTCTTTAGCTCTCTTTCTCTCTCTGGCTCATAACGAAGAAACAAAAAAATAGTGAACGTTCTCAGGAGAATCAGATGTTATGGGCGGGAGATAGTTTGGGAGTAGCCACTGGGCACCAACAAATTCGTACACAAGAGCTTTTGGGGCGGAGCAATGCTGGACGACATACGGGGTGGGCTATGAAGAAAGAGAAAGAGAGATGTTTAAAGGCTCTCTAATTCTCTGGCAGCTCTTCAATCCACTCACTGTCTATCAACTTGTCCCCCCGTGTGCACATACAAACACAGGGGCTCGCAGCTCGAGTCCCTCCCCCTCAAACCGAAGACTCGGCATTCAGACTCTCTCTGCCCAGTCCGAGACGACAGAACCGAACGGCACAAGCCACACCCTCGAAAAGTGTTCGGCACATCAACTGACCCACCCATTTCAATATAGTCACATTCCATTTGTGTTTGTCAATCGCCTGAATTCCATTTTTTGAATTTTTCTGATATTCAAATTCTGGAAATTACTAGAAGCGTCATTCAACTATCATCTGAATACTTGTTACATTCAGATAATCATCTAAACTAATATGACTCAGCTGAGTTTTTATCCGACCTCTGGTCAAACAGCTACTCAATCCACCATTCAACCTGTCGGAGTGACAGATCCCACTAATCAGATTCCGAATCCTTTTGAATTAACTATTACGGCAGCTCTTCGAAGTGCTTTCGAGCCAGAAAATCCAAGCTATTCGAGTAGGTTTTCAATTTCCGTTTCATAAATCCTTCCTCTTTCAATCATCAATCAACAACATTATCTATCAAATTTGAAGTCTCGGAAACATACTCTAGAGTTCCATTGCAAGAAAACCCAAAAAAGAATATATTTAGGCTAACTTAATTAGGCCATAAATGTAATCGAAACTTGGCTGATATAATGAAATATTATCATATTTGAAAATTCTCTTTTCGTCCTCTGCAACTTGCGGTTCAATGGAACAATGCCTAGCAAATCAGTATGATAATCAGAGTGAAAGAATATGCTTCAGCATGAAATGAAAGGAAAAAAAAGAGAGAAAGTGAGACTTCGTCATTTCCCCCTTTTCTGAGTATGTTTCAGTTATTATTTTCTGATTGAAACAAATCCATTCAAGTTCAAATACCAATTTGACTATCTCTCATACCAAACTTCATCCTAACATTTTTCATTTGATTGAGATTAAAAGCCACTTCCAAATGGATAACTTGTTATCCTGTAACTTTCTTTTTCTACTTCTTCTTCTACTTCTTCTTCTTCTTTCATCTTTAGGCCATGTCACGATTGTTTAGACGTTTGCACTTCAAGTTATTCTATCAAGAATGCAACTTTTTGCTATCGACTTCACTTTTAATTCTTCACGGTTTCAATAATTTCCAATCTTTTTTGCTTATCTAGGTGTTACGAGAGTATTTCTGTATTAGTCAATCCTTCAGATGAAAAATAAGTCGAGAACGACTGGAAAGACCACAATTAAGGTTTGTTGCTGGACCAACAGCTAACTAAAACTCGTAAACAGTCGTGTCTTTCTTTTCCTCCTCTCTCGCATCTTCTCTCTAATTTCGAGTCTCTCTCACTCTAATGTCCATCGCCAGGAGAAAACATCTGAAGACTTTATTTCCCAAGAATCGTTGACGCTTATGTTGATCGTCAGTCCTTCACTTAGTTTTGTTCGCTGACCGACGACTATGAAACCTTATCTATCATGAATGTTTCAGCTTTTGTTCGTTGGCCAAATACGGAAATTGAGGGCCAGAAATGATCTTTTGCCAAGTTTTTTTATGTTTCAAAAACAATTTTCATATTCAAATGTGACTATTCATTCAAGAAAATTGTGAGATGAGTATAAGCAGCAGAAAGTACAGAATGAGAGGATTACAGCAGTATTTTTTTCAATCCCCTGACGACAATGGTGATTTTTGATGAATCAAATGAAACTCAGAGAGTTTAGAGCTTAACATAGATGAAAGCTCTTTCCATTCTCTAACAGATTATAGCTTTTGAGCTTTCTGATTGATAGATAACTTACCATGCCATATCCAAAAATGGATAGAAGACTTATAAGGAAATTTTGAGAGAAAAAGGATGGAGAAAGGGAAGGTTGAGGATTTCCATGAAACAATTGAAGTTTCTGTGCGAAAATTTATTTAATGAAAAGAATGAATAAAGCAAGAGAAAAATTGAAATACTATGAGAGAAATGTAGAACTAAGAGAAATGGAGATGGAATATATTTCGACGTTGCTGATATCAGAAGGCTGACGACACAAAGCTTGACGACGAAGGCACATGTCTTCTCATTAAAATTCCATTCACTTACTATTATTACTTATATTCTTTGAAACACTCAATCTTATTATTTATTATTATAAATGAAAATATTCCAAGACTTTCATAGGAAGAAGATAAATGCCATCAAAAGGATTTTCGAAAGTTTTCGCTTAAAGCTATCCTACTTGCTATTTTCATAACAAAACTCGAACATATATTTTTTCTTACAAAAATTAAATGAAAAGTCAAAGATTTTTTCTAATTATTTATATTTTTCATCTTCATTTCAGAACGCATTCCCAATTGCCAAAAATGTGGCCAACATGGTCGCAAATCACGTCTGAAGGGTCACAAGCGAGTTTGCCCATACAAAGACTGTCCGTGCTTCAAGGTTTGTTGACGATTATTTTCATTTGTCTCGATAGTTTTGCTTAAACTAAACAACAAAAGCTGATTTGAATACAAATTTGCCACCATATTTGGACCGGTAGTGACCGGCACCCCGAGTGAGATGAGAGAGAAAGAGAAAAAGCAAAAAAAAGTTAGAGAGAGACAGAGATAGAGGTGCCAAAAGGGTTTGGTATATTCTGTTTTCTGATGCTCATTCGAACACTTTCCCTCTCAGATAAAGAGTAAGAGAGAGAAAAAGATGAGGAGAGAGAGGGATATGAAGAGAGGGGAGAGGAACTCAGAGAAAAATATTTCTCTTCTTTCTCTCCACACTCCGGTAAACAATTAGATTGGCAACACAAAGAAGAAAAAGCTTCAAGTAAATTTCAAAGATGGATGAAATTGTTTTAAAATTATCGAAAGCTTTTTGTCCGACTGCTCTCATTAATGAACCTTTGGAGCAGCAACGTCTCTATCATTAGGTTCGGCAACATGCAAGCTTCTTGATATGGACAAGACGATTTTTTGCTGAAACAAGCCGGCTCATTGATATCCATTGAGATCCGGAGTGGGTTAAGAATGAAGAAGCTTGAGAGCCTATTAAGCCTTAGCAAAACTCATCTTATGCTTTTCCAAACTTTTGAGAGCTTCAAGTTAAAAAAATCAGTCTTTCTTGCATCATCCCTATTCGTTGTTGCTCACAATGAGACATTGAGCAGGATGACCTTAAAAGAATTTTATGGAATGAGAAAAACCTCAAATTGGTTCTCAATTTTCTTAAAAAGTAAGAAAAGCGTGTTAACAAGCTTCATTTGGAAGTAGAATTTTGTTGAAATTTTCATTATCCGCAATCCAATATGGTTAATATGGGGGCAGAAGAGAAAGATGTTCAATAGAATGTTTCTCTCTCATCTATCTCTTCTCTCTCATTTTGATAACCGATTATCTCTACAAGGATTAATAAATATGAGAAAATTGAAAAACTTTTTCATCACATTTCACAATGAGAGAAGTTGAGTGAGATCAGGTGATTAGATATGTAATTATAAGCTTTATTTTAAATAACTTTCCTTTCAATCACCCTCCCTCTCTCTCTCTCTATCTTTCTCTCTCAATATTTTAATCTTCTATCATCATCACAGCTCGATTGATGCAACAAATAAACTGCTAAATAAGGAAAGAGACTAAAGATAATCATCACCAACATCAAAAAGCCTTTGTAAAGTTTTAATCACATAAACAAACAAATTTTTTTCTCCCTCTTTCATTTTCGGTTGGCATTTCAAATTTCAAAAGTCATTATCTAAGATCGGAAATCTATGCTTCATGTGGGCTTTTGTCTTTCAAACTTGGCAGTTTTGTGTTGCTTGTTCACTCTTTCTTCTTCCGTGATTTCTTTTTGTTCTTCGCCTATCTCCTCCTCTATGAAATTCATGTCTTTTTGCTGCTTTCATAGTGCTTGAGCCAGGCACAGAGCAGTATGTCTATTTAAGGAATGTCTAGCTTCAGGCTACTACGAATCCTACATGTTGTATATTCGTTTGTCCATTCGCTTTCTGTTTCTCTCTGTTTCCTCGTTTACACCCATCTTTCATAAAAAAAACTGAAAGCAACATGAGACATGATGAGTTTCGAGGAGAATCAGAGAAGAACACTGAGCGGCACGATACATTTTAAATTGTTGTCCAGTGCTCCACATCAACAACATTGTTTACTCGCTGTTTACTTGCCGGTCACAACATGGCTCAGTGTTTCCAGCTATTGATTCCATATATGGACGAACACTGTTCAGATGAAAGCTGTTGGGCCTTCGTGTCCTGGCTCGTGTTCGCATCGAGTCTGCCATTGCCAGGCCCGACTTGTTTACGGGGCTGTCTTCTACTTTTAGTCAGTTTAGTTCTTTTTTCTGAAGCAGCGCTAAGTGTAAACAATGACCATTCAGACTTCAGAAGGCATAGGGGAGAAGAAAAAAAATTGAGAGAAACATGCAATTGCAACTAGATAAACGTAGAGCCACAAATTGTGAAATTTTTGAAACAAATTAAAAATTCGGTCTAACAGGATATTATTATCAAATTGCAAATAAGGAAATGTCGTCACTTTGATATAATTATATATACATATATGGTCAAGATATGGTAAATATTCTCTCATAAATAGATGAATCCTGAGATGATCACTCCTATGGCTTCTCATTTTCAAGCATATAGAAAGCATGGTCAGCAGATGGGCTAAGCTTCACACAAGCTTCCACATAAACATCTTGTTTTGACATTCATTTAAAGAAATATGAGAACTCCTTCTTTTTCATATTTTATCACAAAATACAAATTTGTATTAAAAGCTCCCCCAACCACATTTTGTATGCTATCAAGGATATGCGTCAGAGTCTTATTAACATCAGCAGCAAGAATCATGTTGCAGCCGATCTCAAACTTCATTTCAGCTAGTGATAATCCTCGTAAACCTCATCAAATATAATGATTCGAAAGATATGCTGCAGATAGAAAGTGATATTGGGCTCTGACAAGTTTAAACGAAACCCTTTTCACATTGTTCTCTATCACAGAAAAAACGTTTTGTCAAACATTTTTGACAGTTTAAAGGGTCACAACAAGAGAATCGCATTTCTCAAGTACAAACGGATTCTCTTTAGTGTCTTGTGAGAGATGCGAGAAAAAAAACAAAAATAATTTTTTTTAGTTTAAAATGTGAATGTTTGAAATCTTCTGACTTGTACAGAATGCTGAAGGTTGCATATGTTTTTTTTCAATATTTTTGTTTACCCAATGACCACAGTGTAGAGAGCAACAAAATAGAATGTGAGGGAGTAAGAGAGAGGAAGAGAGAGAGATAGTAAAAGAGAGTCAAAACCCTGTGGTCCATGATGTTTGTTTTTCCTAATCTGCAAAATAGATTGAAAAACTATACGATGGTTGCCCAGAGGGAAATTTTTTTTTTTTGCAATCGGACATCGACTTGTTTACTGTGCTCACATATTGTTGTTTACATTGTTTACTACTTTCTCTACATCTCTCTCATTTACCCACTGACTAATCCGCTTTCGGTGGTTAGAACTGATCTACTTCGAGAAATATTCAGCTTTGGTTTCATGTTGTGAAAAGAAAGCAAGTTTGGAATATAAAAAAAACCGAGAAAGCCAGAGAGAGAGAGAGAGAGAGAGTTGAATGAAGTAGTCTTTCTCTCTCTCTCTCTATCTCTCTCTAACTCCTCATATAGTAATAAGAAATATTCTTCCGCTATCCAGATGAATGGCACTGAAGAATGAGACACAAAAAAGAAATCTATAAGAAATGATGAAATTACTTATATGGAAACAAGCTTAATATTATGAAATTAAGGCTGATCTCTGTTTATTTATCATCTCCTCTCATATTTATTTTTCTTCTTTATGATAATAGTAATGAATAATGTTTTTGATATCATTACATACTATTAGCTGGAAATCTTTCGCCTTTTTTGATTGAAAAAAATATATTAATTTCTCAAAATAAAGCTGAAGATATCAACGATTATCATTTCGGCTTTTTCCCTTATTTATAGAAAATATCCTCAAACATAACTACTTCAGTCTCACCATACTCACTCATAAACTCATTCACACTCTCCACATCCAACTCTTATCTCTTATATATCTAAGAGCTTATGAATATTTAAATCAACCGGTCAATGCATCGTTTACGTCAAATGAATGATGATTACACGTGTAGATGAGCTTTCACGTCAATATGACGTGAACATCATCAACTACACACAGGTATTCATTTGCATAATGAGAATGTATAAGAATATATAGATATGTATATCTATTAAATAAATAACAGAATGATGAAGTTTCAAAGTTTCAAATTAATTTTAAACAAGACAAGTTCATTATAAGCTCATCTTGATCAATTTATATGCTTAAGGGACTATTGAAATATTATTCTCAGAAGCCAAACATAACAAACATGTGAAGCCGTTGAAAATTCATTTTTAGCGATGAATACTCCAAAGTTTCACCAAAATGTTTGAAACAAACGTCTTATGACGAAATCGAATGAACCATGAGCATTGAGGGATTTCTGGGAAATGCGTGCCAGATGTATGAAACTCTATGGAATAGAGAGAGAGAATAAGAGAGAAATAGAAGGAAATCAAGAAAAAAATCTTTTTTTCTCTTTAATTTTATTAATAAAACAAATTATAAAACTTATAATGACGACTAATTTATTCTGTCACATGTATTCAGAATGTTTCCAACGTTTCCAATTAACTTCAATGTGTTTCAGTGTCATTTGGTGACAGATCGCCAAAAATTAATGGCCGAGCAAATCAAAATCAGAAGACGTCAACGTAAAGATCATCTGATGAACATGACAAGAGAGCAGATCACCAGTACATTAAATGCTGCTGCAGCTTTATCTGCTGCTGGAAACTTCACATTTAATCCTTTAATATGTAAGTTATACATATAGATATATAAAAAAAAAAGATTTTTCGTTTCTTAATAATTAGGGTGATTTCTTTGAACGGCCAGCTAGAGGGATTCTTGCAATCATTCTTTTGACTCTTCAAATAATTATTTTTTAACAAACTCTAAATGGATTTTGGTCTTCTTTTGCTCCCCATTTTGATTAATCAAATACGGCTATTTATTGCGATCGAAACTTTTTTTTTTCTTTTTTATTTTTAAAAAATTCTAAAAAAGCCAATTTACTTAGAATTCTGACCTGAACACTGATACAGAATTGAAAATTAAAATTATAATTGTTCAAAGAGGAACTATCTGAACAACATATTGCTTCAAGCGCACACATTCTAAGTATCAGATTGAAAGACTTTCGATGGTTTCAATGTACTTTTCATGAAAAATTGTTTTGATTCACTTCGATGTGTGTGCACTTGAGCTACTCTAAGATTCAGACGAATGTTTCTGAGTTATCAATCCAATCAAAGTAAGATTTCATGATGCCGTAGGCATGCAGCGTCAGCGCTTATGAGCATACAAAGCAAAGCCGATTTCTGCTGTCTTTTCGAATCTTTTTGCATAAAAATTAAATTAATATTATGAAACATGAGAAGCATTGTTTTTCTTGGAAATTGAAAGAAAATTTTTGATTTAATTGTCACAAATCCACAGCAAGTTGATAGATCATAGAATAGGATTTGAAAGACAACCCATAACGTTCTATTATCACTAAAGGACATCAAAAAGAGCTTCAAAATCAACTTATTTTTCGTCTTCTTACCTCACCCTCTGTCCCTCTCTCCATCCTTTCACATTCTCTCTCTATGTCAACTTCAAGCACTAATTCATGTATCGAAAATGAAATATAAATATGAATATTTTCGAATAAGATCTAAAAACTCGTGCGAATTACTTTTTATATGTTTTGACATCATCGTCATCATCATCATCATGTGTACCTACTTCAAACTGAAATAATATATTTAAATTCTGAAATTATTGTCAACTTTCTCATTTTTACGCGAGAGGGACTGACTTTTAAAATCTATGTTTCTATTATTAATATTTTCTTTTTTTCAGTCCAAGAGAATCAGTTGCCCTGTTCTCTTCTCACATCTCCAGCTGCTTCATCTGATGGAAGTTCATACTCTCCAACCAATGTGATTAATCAACCGTTCCGAACATCACCGGAACTCATCAGCTCTGCTACACCAACAAGCACAGCTACTGTTGCTCCAGTCACAACTGGTGCTAGTGTGCCAGCAGTATCTGCGGCTACTGTTACAGCATCAACTATAACTTCTCCAAGCCCTCCAAGCCCACAAGGAATATTGGCTCCTGTAGCCATAAATCCAGCTTTCAGCTTCCCATTATTTAATAGCGAAGCTTTAATTCAGCTGCTGGCCAGCTATAAGATTCTTGATCCTGCTGCACCAACCCTCAAGACGGATCATTCACAAGAAAAGATGGACCTCAGTAATCCCATTATTGATGTTTGTTCCGTATAGAACAAAGACATGTGACGTCAAATGGAATGTTATGTTTTCCATTCATCGTCGTTTCTGTAAAAAATGTCATATTCCACATACGGTATAAGCAAACATATAGGTTATCTTTTCCTGAATGCGCTGGTGATAGGCCAAGTAATTCCACGGCTCTTATTTAACCTCCCCTGAATATGTGTTCTCATCATATAATCGTCTGTACAATCTTATGAAAAATTATTTTTGTAAATGTGAAGAGCGAAAAGCCAACTATTTAGTATTTCTTTATATTTTATCCTCTCATATCTACCTCCCGATGATATACCTCTAACATCTTCTCTCTCTCTCTCCTCTCTCTCTCCTCCTCCTCACTCTCTACCTTATTCTCTATCTATTTTTTGCATTAAGTAGCAAATCCCGGCTGAAACTGATTTCCTCCCTTCCCAGTGATCACATACATACACACAAACGGTGTCCATCAATTTATCTGTAACATAAGTCGGTTTAATTCGAAACAAAACGGTTTGACTTAATGAAATGGTTATAAGTCTACTGTATTCTTATATAATCAATCAGATTTTATCAATTTATTTATTTGTCTTAAGAAAGAAATTTCTGATAAATTCCGATTGGTTTTGCGCATATCTGCACATTTCTGGTTCATCCATTCTTTCATTATTAATACATGTAGACCGGACATGGGTTGCTGCTTCAACCATTTTTTGTGTTTTTTTTATTTCTCGAAAAGAAAATTAACTTCTTTTCTTACCTTTTTTTATTATAAAATGTGTATATTTTGTATCATATTTTCATGTTTTTATCTTCTCTCCTCTATTATTCATCAGTGATTACCAAAAATTTTCTTTTTATTTGTATTGGTCTTGATGCTTCCAAAGGGTACATGGGAAGTGATGAAGGGCGAGCTCTGAGCTCTCTCAAAGCTCCAATTTCGTATCTTCTCTATTAGGATTTAGAAATTCATCTTGTTCTTTTCCTGGAACAGAGACAATTCTCTCTCTCTCTCTTTTTCATGAAAAGAATGAAATCTTTTGTTTTGTTTGAAGGACCAATTTGACTGAATCATTTGTTATCCTCTATCATCATCTACCTCATTTCGTTTTATTTCAAACTTATTCAGAACATCCTTCAATCAAATTTGTACTATTACTTATCTGAATAATTTGAATAACGAAATATTCTTATGATCACACATATTGTTCTTCTTGTCCATAATTGGGCATTTAGCTCAATTTGAAACTTTCGAAAATCTCTGAGGTTCATTTAAAATACTCTTCTCAGCCATGTGCTCTCAGCTACCTCCGATTCTAACAGTTTCTGCTCTCTCCCTTCCTCTTTAATTGTCTCTCTAAATATCTCGAATCTTCCTCATAAACCATCTACCTCGTACATGTCTTACGGCCGCCTCTCTCTCTCTGTCTACCTGAAAAATCCACCAATCTCTCATGTTCCTCATCCATCAACCATTATAAGAAGAAGAAGAAAAATGTTTGAATTGTTCCAATTGTTTGTTTGTTGATTACTTAGTTCAATGCATCTGTCCCCCCTCTCTCCCTCCCTACCTACATCCATTCAATCATTATTTTTTTTTATGAATGAAAAAAAAATAAAATATATTACATATATAATAGATATATCTTTAATCTATCTATTTCTATCATATCATGTCGATGTTCATTATATTATATGATATGGTTAATACCCAAACTATCATACAATCTAATGTTATCTGATTCTTCTTCTTAACCAAAGTCGTTTTCCTTTTTTATTTTTTTTTATTATTATTTCTATCTGTTTCACTCTTTTCAGTTTTAGTTATGTTAGAATGTGTTTTATTTGATTTTTGGTGCAATCAGCAACATTTTTTTTTCTTTGGAAGCAATAAAAGACTTTAAATATGAATGAATTATAATTCATGAGATATTATATTAAATAGTATATTTATATACATATGTATATATATTCCACAAAATCATTATTACTAATTGGTCTGCGTATCATGACTACAAGGTACATCTAACACTCATCTCATTCAAACAACACATTGCACACCATCATGAACAATGCTCATCCACACAATATACGGAAAGACAACTAAATGAATGTTATCTATTCCAAAAGTAAGAATATAAGGTTAAGAACAATGTATATATTCCTAATGTTTTCAAAATTTATATGGAGAATTGCTGCAAGTGCAAAAGCCAAATAGGTGCTATATGGGCTTCTTCTAGCAAACTTCTTCATACTTTTGACACGAAACGTTCGTCTTCAAAACATACATTTTTTTGAAATATTTAATATGATGATATACAGTTTGCAACTTCAGCAACTCATTTGATAATCTCTATTAGATTTTTAAGCACAACGTCGAAATTAGCATAAATTGAAGCAGGAAGGCCGATATGATAACTTCGTTTCATACAATCCGTCATATGTTTAGCAGATCGGTTGCATTCGAATCTCTGATACAATTTAAACTCATTTCCTGCACACTTCATCAAAAAGTTTTGCTTCTAGTTTATTTCTGGAATGTTTTAGGCGTTGTCTTTCTCCATACTCTAATACTGTCTTGCTCCGTATGCCAGCAGTGGTTTCTTCTCTGAGTCAGGGTGAATGGTTCTTACTTGCTACTTCGGTTAGTAATCATAGAATTACGGAAACGAGAAACAGATTCGTACAGCTGCAAAGATAAATTGGTCAAAAAGCTTTTAGTTTTTCTCTTAACTCTCTTAATCCTACACTTTCTTTTTCATTTATATGTCTAAAGTCTCTTACTGTTTCACTAACTATTTCATTCTTTCTCTACATTTTTCTCTTTTCAAACATCCATCTCTCTCTCGTACCCTCTCTTTCTCTCTCTCTCTCTCTATTCAAGGCTTTTTTTCAAAATGTCATCAACGACTACGTTGAATTGTCGTGGTGAGTTGCCAAAATAACAACAACAACAATTTTTGCCGCTGGACATTTCTGACCACAACATTGAGGAGAAACGCATGTATAAATACGTCTCTCTTTCTCTCTCTCTCAATTTCTTCTCTTACTCTCTGCATGTTTAATACTATTTCTGCATACTCTTCGCATTCTCTACCTTCCACTTTCTTTCGTAGAGCTTGTTGACGATTTGTTGATAGCACAGCTCGGAAGAAAAGTTATTTGAAGGATGTGGTCAAAGCACGAGATATACAATCTCATAGTTGTGAGGGATTTCACTTCCTTTATTCTCAATAATTTCCTCAAATTTCCCGAAACATCATTCCATTTATTCTTCTAATGTTACTTTGCTATCAAGGCTTAACAACAGAGTATCATAGATAAATCATTTTAATCATTGTTCAAGCTTTACAGAATTATCATAAAACCATATCTGTTCTATATATATTCGAATACAATACATCGTTGAGAAACACACAAAGCACTTATCAGAAATAAATTTTTGCGAAAGAGGGAAATACTTTCGAGAGTTGTTTCATAAAACTGTAACAGCTACGGAAGTTTCATGATCCAAATGAAACTATCTTACACTGGGTACGAGTTTACAAAAAAGGGATGGAAAAAAAATGTTATTTCCTAATTTGTCATGCAAAATGTCCATTTTAGGCCATTGGTCAAGTAAGTTGTTAACTAAGCAGAAAGCAACACAATATCCATTGAAAAGTAAATTTTTTTTTTGTTCAACCAAAACATAAAGAGGAAAAAGGAACAAGAGTTGGAAATAATAAAGAGAAGAGTAGCAATACATGACCAAATGAATGCGAAAATTCACAGAAAACAGTAAACAAGCGAGCCAACATGTCATCTCTGAACAACAATCAAGTTGTGAATAAATGATGAAAAAAGTAAAAAAAATAATGCGAACAGAAAGCTTTTTTAATTGAATTCATTCTTATCTCTCTTACTCTCACTTCCCTCTCTCTCTCTCTCTCTCTCTCTCTCTCTCTCTCTCTCTCTCTCTCTCTCTCTTTCTATCTTTGGCTCGCCGAAAATACGGAAAAGACATTTTCATTTTAAGGCAACTGTCCACAAGATTTGATTTTGACATTTTTCTTTGTCCGGCCTTTTTGTGCTCCACAACCCTCCAAAATACCCAAATTCTCCATTTGATCCAGTACTTCAAAGCCATCCACTAACTGACCAAATGCAACATGGAAGTTATCCATCCTCAAAAGATGTATTATAACACAAATATTAGTATTACATTTCTATTTTGTTTGCAATAACTATTTAGACATTTGAACATAGCATTTCATGAAAAACATATTCTTTAACCACACATCAAAACAAATTAAAAAACCAAAAATAATTTTTTTTTGTCTGTCAAACGGAGATACGTAACGAACCATGGCGTCTCCTGGAATGTTACAAAAAATCTGCTCGAATTTGTGTCTGGCCATCCGAAATTGTCCATTGAGAGTGTTCCCCTAAACACAAACACAATGACCATCATTGCTCATCAATCAATAATTTATTTTCTGACCTTCGATCATGCTTCAGAGTAAAGTTTTCGTCTTCAAAATATTTATCGCCAAAGGCACTTTTTCCACCTTTCCGATCAGCATTTTGTGTCTCAAAGTCACCGGACTAGATTAATTGCTCTTTATTATAAAATGGGACTTTATGAAATACTCACACAAGCACAAAAGCCAGGAATTATACGATACCAATCGCAGTTCTGAAAACCAAAACCTTTCTCTCCGGTACATAACAATCTGAAATTTTCCGTAGTTTTGGGACAAACAGTACTGTTTAGCTAAACATGTTTAATAGTTGGATGACAAGTGAGTAGGATTAACCTCAAATACAAGACGTCCAATATCTTCTTGATCAGCTTGAATATCTAGAAATACTTTGGGATGTTCTACAGTCATCGTCACCAAACTAAAATTGAATGATGTTCGTTCTGCAGTTTACTCTTATAAGCAAATAAAACAAAATTGTACTAATTTTGAATTAGAATATTCTTTTTATGGGCATATGCATTAGCTATATTAACTACTAGCGTGTATTATATGTATGTCGAAGATCCTCTGACATATAGAAAAGTTAAAAATAATCCTATTAAACCGTACATCATCGATTAATTATCTCAATGAACAGCTTATTCATATGGCATGCCAATCGACCTTTAAGTCTTTGAGAACACTGATGTACGGTGCAAAATTACATTCAGACAATCTGACCAGGATTCACGGAAGAACAAGTCGAAGAAACATTTCAAATCCGACAGTCAGTCTTCCAACAATTAATTTCTTATGATAGTTAATGAAACTTTGTTGTTTACTTCGATTTACCTTAGCCGTTTTCTAATTTCTTATCACGTATGTTTGGTTTCTCCTGAGGCTCTCTCTATATATCTTTCATACATAGAAACCAATTCAATGAAATTATTATTGTGAACATAGAGCAAATGTGAATGCTCTTTAAGGAACCAGATCATTCATTATCTACTGATCGCCCTCATTAGAATTTTTTAAAAGAACATGTGTTTCAATATATGACATAACCATTGCGAAAGATGCTTTATGAATTCTATGCATTATTCAACGGACTCCCTATGTGATACGGAACATGAGGAATGTAGTTCAGGTTTCTCAGACAATATTGAGTTGTCCACAGGTTCTTTTAAAAAATTATATTTTTACCTGACTTTTGATATGCTTGAACTGTTTCACTCCAGGGCTGAATCGCTATGTTGAACTTACTGTTTAACATGTTGTAAATATACTTATGACAACATGCAAAGACTATCGAAAAAGGTAAATCTTATTAAGTTTTAGTAGAATTTGTGGGAAATCTATTCTTCCGTAGAGATGACAGTTTACTTATTAATCTCAGATGAATGATAAACCGACAACTATTTCTCTAAAATATATTTCATTCTGTGGATACAAACTTCACTACTCTCTGGGATAACCAAACATTGGTTGTTATAAAATGGTTTGATGCTAGAGTAACACTGGTTTTGTTTTTCTTATTAAATTTTGTGTACAAACTATTTCTATTTCGCAAGCTATCTCATTCAACACCAAATATGATGTTGTGTTCACCTATTGCTAATACTGTGATTGGCCGGCCATTACAAGACCAAACAGGGAAAAATAAAATCAGCTGTTGTTTACCTTTAATTTTAATTTTCTCTTGAGTCCAATCAACGGTAAACTGCAAAAGCAACCGTTCACGATGAACATTGAAATGAAAATGAAAACCGATCTACGTCAGTTATAATTTCACGAAAATTTCACACAACGGAAAATTTTCTAAGGAAGTACAATGGTAGAACCATCAAAATAGACTCGTTCTGCGGTAACAGAAGAAGAGAAGCACAGAAGAATAACCTTTTATCCGCTTTCATATACTTTCAGAGTTCGTTCTATGATCTTGAATATAAAAATACAGTTTTTTACAAACTAGAAAAATAAGGAAAGAAATTTGTACTTAAAAGGCGCCAAGTGACACACTACAGACAACCCTTGGTGGCGCCTTAACTATTCGAATTGTGATAATATAAAATAAATACAAATAATTTATGAGAATTATAGTCATTCACCCATTACTAGAAGAATGTATATACTAACTTCATCCATATTTCTAATCATCAGCATAATTGCCTCGATCGAAGCTCAGGGAACTAACTCGGGAAACGAAACAAGTTGTAAGAATGCTAACAAGTTTGTTGAACAAGTTGAGTTGTTGAAGTTGATGTGGATACCGTTCTGAAAGCTGTTGGAGCACCAGCATGTATGAGAAGATGCATTGACCCTTTCATGGAGAAAATATCAGAGATGTGGGAATTGGAAAAAATCGTAGAAAGGATGTCGAATGTCTGCAGGTAGTTCCATAAACGAATAAGCAACTCTATTCATTATTTCAGTACTTACAATGAAACTCTGGAGTGTTTAGATAAGAGTCCAGCTTGCGATGTTCAGAGTATTTTCAAAACGGCCACGCTTTCATTCCAGAAAAGATGTGTAGAGAAAGCTGATATTTATAAGAGAATGGAGAAATGTATGATTGGAAGAACTGACAAAGTTATGCAAAGTTAATTTTTCTTTTTCTCTTTGTTATCTCATGTTTATTACTCAGAATGTGATTCCAAATGCTTCTGCCGTTCGAACGCTACAGCTTTCTCCAGTCATCCTTCAATCCAAATGGCAGCTAAGATGGGTGGTAACATTTTCATTGTCAATGACCATATTTCAGGATTATGCAGGTTTATTAACTTTGCAGACTTTTGAGATTTTATAATTTTCAGCTGTTTGAAATGCGCTATCCCCTGCGTTACATTCGAAATGAATCTCCAATGTCCTCTTTCCGGATGGCTTTCTCTAGTTAGTCGAGATATTTCTTTTCCTCCATAAACCTATGTGGTTAAGGATGTAATGTTACAACCTTTTGATGCTGTTTCTTCCTTATTAGAAGTTTTGAGTCCCGAAGTTCAGGCAATCATACGAAGCAAAGTCTCGGATCAATGTCATTTTGCTATCAGCTCCAAGTCCCTTAAGAAAGTTCGCGAAGGAGATTTCAGCGTTTTAGCCAATTAACTTTTGTTTCAATGAATATCTTTTTTTATCAAAGTTTTTTTTCATGACTATGGTTACTCCGATACTCTTTGCTCTTTTACTTCGCAACGATCCGTTCATGTACCTCTTATAGATGTTTCTCTACCTTCTAACCATACTACCAATTCTAATAGCTGGAGAGAAAAGTATGATGATTTTCAATATTCCTTTACTTTAGTTCTGTTAGTTAAACGATCTCCCTTGGACTATGGCCTTCCAGCAGGTTTATCAACACTACCTAATACTGATCCCAGCAAAGAATATGCTGATAATAGTCCTGCATGCGAATCGGCTTGTTTGGAGCCTTCTTTGAAAGTTATCGGACATTTTTTTGAGCCTGGAAACATAAGAGATAATATGGTGACCGTGTGCAAGTACGTTTTCTGATTTGATATGGCCTACTGTTTGGCTTGCAGGTTTTATGATGAGGCATTGCAATGTCATCAGCGTTTTACCCAATGTGATCGTTCCATGTTTGAAACAGTAACAAGTGGAGTTCGGTATATGTGCAAAGAACAGAGACATGGTCTGGTGTCTAGATAATTCATTTACATAACAATTTTTCAGCTTTTGATGTGCTAATAGATTGCATTGACAATAACACACAATTAGTCACTAAGGGTATGACAGGGTATGAAACCTTTAACTCTGACTTCTATTGTAGATTGTGATGCTCTTTGCCAACCCAATAGCCTTGTGGCTGGACTGGCTCTGAAGGATACAGTGATGGATGTTCGTTTTTAAGAAACATTCAAATGATTGATTATTTCTATTAAGTCATTGCAACAACCACTGATATCACAAGGATTAAACATGCGAGACATGATTGAACCTCATTTGGGAAAATTGTTTTTCAGTGAAGGCTGTCGGTCAGTAGTTCCCAAACTAGCAAGAATATATTCTCATCAAATTTCAGGATTACTGAATGCTTGATGAACTGTTATAAGACAAAATATAATATGCTATGTGAAGGAACTGCTGGGTCCCTACTAATGGTTAAAAACTCATCAAAAAAAGCTAAACTATCGTTTTGTTCATTTCAGGAAGCTTTAGCCCGACCGTTGTCTTCAGAATCTGCTCCAGACGCTTCTAAATTTTTATCGGCTGTATTAGGAGGGCTGTTACCTCACTCTTGCCAATATCTTTACTCAAAAAACGGTGGACTTCGAATTAACCCTGAGCTTCATAATGAAATATACCGAATGTACAAAGACAGAAAAGTATGATGATAAGTTGGTACCAATAATATTAAAAACTTTAAGCCGATAACCCAAAAACATTTTGAAGAAACTCTGAGTGTACCATCATCTGACAAAGATCCTTTCAAAGAAATTTCTGAAAATTTCTTAAGGTTATCTCCCATTGGAATAAAGGTTCTTAGTTGTTCAACTTTATTAGAGAAAGACAAAGACCATTCTTCAGGAAAACCATGTAGCTTATAGTACGGATGGAAAAGGTAAAAACACGATACTTCTCTTTTAAAAATGTTTTAGCGGAAGATACGAATACGGAAGTTCAGTACCGAGCCGCTATGGAGCCCGAAATGGTCACTTTGGTTTTGAACAATGAACATGAAGTCGATCTGTTAGGTGGAGAAACTTACGAGATTATCATGAATGTTCCGAGTAATGGTATGAAAAACATATTCATGTTGTTGGCTAACATGTTGCTCTTCAGGAACTGTTGCCTGCTTTTTCACGAATTCTTTGAATGAAGGATCTGGCATGATATTTTAATTTTAATAAACTAATATGTTTCGAAAGCTTTTTTGTAATGTTTTTTTATTAACAGCAACAATTGCTATATTCGTCAGTGGTTTCAACATTTAACTCTCCCCTCAAAGGAACAAGTTCTATGCTGCGATTATCTATTTTACTTTCTATTGTGCTGGTAGTATCTCTTCTACTCTCCTCACCATCAGAACATACAAGATGCTTCAAAACTTGATATAAGCGAACAAAAGGGTAAGGCGTGTATAATAGAGGAGGAAAGAGATAAGATTTCTCGTACCTATAATTTGATATTGAGTTGTATATACAGTTAGTAATCACCTTATTAGGTATTTGCATTTCATATAATGCTTGTAGAAAATCCGTGTCTCCTTATGGTCTTCGTGGATTTGTCTGCAATACAGAACTGAAATGTAGTAACGTATTAGCAGTTTACGTCAAAAAAGCTGTCAACAAGTTGACAAGAACCACAGCAGATACGAACATGTAAAGGAAGAGAGAGATAGGCATGAACCAACTCTAAAGCAATACTCGTTTCTCCAATAAAATTTTTTTTCTCAACATCTACGATACATCTTAATCCTGGAGATGTTATATTCCTCGAGTCGAACGGGAAGTCTCCGCAATTAATACCATCAGCTAAAACTACTAATAGATGTGACGGAATGATACTAACCATATTTGTCGTCAGCTTCACCGAATATCTCGAATGAGCCCGATTTGAAAACACGCCAAATAACGTTTGTTCGAGTTTCATTCTTGACATACGAATCTGTATGAGTCATAAGAATGAAAAGCAAATGATGAATAACCTTGAATATGCACCACACAGACTCCGTAAGCTATCCAAAAGACCAGGAATAAGATGAAGAAACGAATAGTGAAAACGGCCTTCAAAAATACCGTTATCCAATGAAGTTTAGCATTCAACTCACCATTTTTTTAATGGTGAGAATGATGGAGGAATAGAAATGATCAAGTGATAATATGAATAACAGATACAGAGTTGCGTATATGAAAGAGATGAAGAAAAGAATAGTAAACATTCTTTCCAGGATAAGGTAAGTCAAACCAACTCTTTGAATTCGTTTAATGTAATAAGTTAATGCTTGCACATCTTACTTTGACATCGGAATATATTGGGAAAAGACATAGAATATACTCAATAGGAAAAGAAATGTTTCCCAATCACAGCTCGAAAAAAAGGCGAACTTCAATAAAAGTAATCAGTAGAATCAGTCTAAGATTTGAAACATACTTTGAGGATTAACCAACCTGAATCTGATGGTATATTCAAGCTTATATAGATCATTTTCATCATGCTGTCTAACATAAACAGTAGTTGGATATACATCACACTAATCGTTCCTTGAGTATAATGATCAAGAGCGTATGGGTGTCCTTTCAGCAGTTGATATGCCATGCACAGGCAGTAGAATAACCGAAATATCTATAAATAAATTGATAGTTGCTTAATATCTAGAACTTCTGCCACCCAATGTAATGCGAACTTGCCAGATGGAGAGCCCCACGTTTCTTTCACCAGGTGTATTGGGAAAGTTATAACAAACCAAATTATATTCCGAAAGCTGTCAGTCTTGTATTTATAGGTCTTGGAGAACGCTGAACGATTACTCTTGGATAGGAGCAAAAATAAAGGGACTAGTGTGAGAGCGAAGTAAATCAAATCAAAAAGAAAAAAGTTGTATGATTTCTTTCGGAAAACAGGATCCCAGCGCTTACGAACTTCAGCTTGGCAGGAATTACTCGACAAAAAAAACTGCAACAAATATTGCTCTTTCTCAGTTATATTGATGGCATAATTACTAATGCTTTTGATTCTATCGCCATCTCTAACATGTTCACAGGTGTCACACTGTAAATTGAGCAGCTAAATTATAGTTAAAAATCGAATAAAACAGAAAGTTACCAATTCTTCTTCTTCTTCTTCTTCATATATCTTTCTTCATATACAAATTCACAATAATTATTTTTGAAAAAGTTAGAGTCTTTTTTCACTTTAACTTTATTCAAAAACTGTTGGCAATTCTTGTCGAGAGCCCTTTTGATAAAAAATCCTTGAAGAGTGGAGAAAAAAAGTTCATGAAAACCTGTGATTTGCCTCGTATTCCTCTATTTTATCTAAAATATTCATCTCCCTCAAAGCTCGTATCATAGTTTTGCATGCCCATATCTATACAAGCTTTATGTAGATTATGATGAAAAACAAAATAAATACCTTAATAAGGCTATATACTAATTTTTTTGCAATCATTTCATGATGCTCCTTTTCAGCCCTTTTTTTAATTTTTTCCTGAGATTTATATTCGTTCTGAGCTTTTCTGATTATTGTGTCCGGATCATCTTGCTCGTCGGGAACGCCATCAGCCATTGATATCTGAACATTATCATTGTTCTCTTTAGCCTATCTAAGTATTACCACATCACAATCATTGTTTTCAGAGTCATTTGTCGTCAGTATTTGAGCATCACTAAGTTTCTTCTCAGCGTCTCTTATAATTTTGATCTGAGCGTCTTGCTTCTTCTCAGCATCTCGTATAGTATTTTCTAGATTATCAAGCTTCTCATAATTATCTTCTCCAATTATTCCCAATTCATCATGATTGTTGTAAACGGCATCAATCATCAGTATTTGAACATCTTCATTGAGTTTAAAGAATGCATGCATGAACATACTCTTAAAACAATAACTGAAAGCAACTCAAGAAAAAATTACTCACGAGAGAGAAGCCTGATAATATGTTAATAATCTCTCCTACTTCTAAATTCTTTTCCAGATCACAGCGAATAAATTCGGTAGCAAACAAGCCAGTCTACGAGCATATACATGACTATTTAATTTAAAATTCTAAGTAATCACTTCTTTTTCTAGCTTACTAATGTGATTCAAAACCTTCTCTTTGTATCCTGGGAATTCATCATCAGAAGCTTGTTTCGGAGTATCATTCGGTGCTTCTTCAATTTGTCCGCTATGTGTTGCAGTATTCATATCAAATACACAAACAAAATGCCGAGTATAAATCTAAATTGAGTAAAATTGAAACAAAAAACGAGGAAGAACGACTCACAATATATTGCTAAGAAGGCTGATTGATTAAGCTGGAAGAAGAAAATTGTTATCAATGGTACAATCAGATTAGGTCATCACAAGCATTTTATTCATTTATCAAATAGTAATCAAATTTGCATGATGTATCTCAGGATGATCATGATTATTGCAGAAAATGCAGCTTAAACATTGTTTTGATATGTTTAAATCTCAAACAGCTAACCTGATACAGGTAAAGTGATCACCCATGATATAGCGACGTTCCTGAACAAAGCCCAGTTGATTTTACGAATACCGCGTAAGCTACCAACAGCAACAACGGAGCCAACCTTAGAAGAATGTCAAAATCAAGTTGATGTCAAAATTTCATACCAAGCAATGCGTCGTACTAACAGGCAAACCATATTTGCTTGAAACCAGCACTGTTACCGCTGATCCAAAATCAATACAGAATCCACTAGAGCAGTAAAGAGTAACAAAAAAGTTGGTAAAGATACCTGGCAGCATTAATCTCAGACATATTCTTACCGATTGTATCGATAACCTTATGACCGAGTATCCATAAACCAGAACATATTGAGAAGACTCCAAAAATCAGGACGAACAAAGGTGTCTGCCCTTTCTGTGCTACATCGAAATCCCGATAAATTGAGAATATAGCCGATAGTGGAGCTATTGCATTACTAAAATCAAATTTTTTTAAAAACTCATTGTGTATAACCTGACATCGTTTGCTCCATGGGCAAACGCAGCGAAACATGCAGTGAAGATTTGAATTGCAGTAAACAGTCTCAACGTTCTTGTTGTATCAATGCGTTCTGCGTCAGGGAGAAGCCAGTCGAAAAACTTTTTGAATCCTAGTAGAATGGCATAAGGAGGAAGTTGGAAATTATAAAACTTTTAAAATAGTGGTTGCTGGGCTTAGATAGTGAAGCTTGTTCTTCTGATTCTTTTGCCTTTTTGTCTTCCTCGGCCGTTTTATCACCTAGCGTCAAAGCATTAGATACACTGACTGAGCACTCAGATTTCACATGATTCAAGTCGACATCTAAATAGATAGCGTTACTGGCATTTTATTACCGCTTACCGCTTATGAACTTTTTTAACTTCGGGATATAGAACAGAAAAATTAAGAAAGAAGAAATGAGTCCTATCGACGTGCTGAGGAGAATGGATTCAGTGACATCAAGTTTGCGTAGATTCAAAACTGCAGACTACGGTCAGTTTCGTAGTAACTTGGTCATACCTCTAGAACCTTCTCTTGTGATCATAACGCAATTGCAAGTTATTACAAGAAAGAAGAATATAGGCAAATTTCTCAGACCACATCGTACAGGATCAACCTAGAAAGAAGGATCATAAGGTTTTTTTTGCTTGCTTACTTTTCTCAAGACTAGGTGGTCTATCAATAAATACAAAACGACTGCAATGAATCCTGCCAGCACTGGTGAGATGAACCAAGACGACGCTAATCATATGGAACTAGCACATATTTTCCGTAATTCATTACCTATTATCATTATTTGATTCCACTGCACTCCCGAAAATCCTTTACAAACTAAGGTGAATCCTAATGAAGCTCCAATTATAGAATGAGTCGCCGAAATAGGAAGTTTGAGAACAGTAGCAACAAACAACCAAAGAGCACACCCTGAAGGAAATGTATAACTTTCAAGCAACTCTGAACTCTCAAGACCTCCCAGTGTTGCTATTTGACCAAGCAGCAGCAAACCCACGGAATCTTCGTATATAGATACAGTCACAATGCTTTTTCTGATAGTATCAATGACATTGTACCCAATAAGTATTGATCCTAGAGCTTCGAATATTGACGCCAAGATGTAAGCTTTGACAATTGTCAAACTTTTAGAACCTAGATACAATTGTGGAAAGAAAGTATAATTTCTACTTAATGACCAACGGTAGTGCCAAAAGCATTTGCTACATCATTAGCTCCCATACCAATACCAAGGAGAAAGGCGACGATGATTCCAACAACGATCGTCCAAACATATTGTTCCTTGGAATAAAAATAATTTAGATTATACAGTAAATAAGTACTTGGAAAGAAGTAACTTGCTGGGCAAACACCCCTGCTATCGTAGTGACATCCATGGATATTTTGAATTTTGAGACAAAAGACGCTCAACGTGGAATGGGATCAATCGATATGCTAATTAAGCTCGATGCTGAGTTAAGTGAAGACATGAATATTTAACTTGTGGAAAAGCTTGAAGCGTTCATTTGAGATATATAATTTGAACAATAAGTTTTGAATATATTTATGCATTTGTGAATGTTCTGGGAACAATTTGAAAACTTTAAAACTTTAAACACGAGTATCTGCAATTAGAAGCATTTGAGAGGCAGCTATCCTATAAACAGAGAAGCTTGAGCAGGAACATTATTCCAGCGGAGATCAATCCTGAAATGTTCCATTATTTCTTTATTTTTATCTTAAAACATTACCAGCTATAGGGAGAGTTACAATCCATGAAGAGGCTATACTAATAAATAAGCTCCACTTGATTCCTTCTCCTGCTTTCACACAGCCGACGGCTACAACCGAACCCACCTAAAGGAACACATGAGAGTCTTTGATGGTGAGTGAACACTTACCAGACAGTGAGTAGTACTGATGGGAAGACCAGCCTTGCTGGCTATTAACGAAGTGATAGCTGCTCCGAATTCAATAGTAAACCCACTGAACAATTAACCATCAGAGTTCAATCGTTCACAGAACAATTTTTTTACCTGCAGGGATTAATACAAGACATTTTAGTTCCAACAGTTCTGATAACACGATGTCCTAAGAGCCAGAGACCAGTGCAGATAGCGGCAACTCCGTACAACAAAATGTAGATGGGGATCTGAAAGACGTGGTATGAACATGCTCTAATTATTAATAACATACTTCTTCTGTTTGTTCGCTTGACTTGTATTTATATGTTGATACTAAAGCAGCTAGAGGAGCAATGGCATTACTAAGAAACGAAATTATAAAATCTTTGAATACGATTCTCTCTTACCCAACATCATTAGCTCCATGAGCGAAACCAGCAAAACAAGCTGATAAAATCTGTAAAATAGAATTGATAAAAAAGTTTAGAATATTATAATAAAGCAAATATATAGATAGATATAGATCTTCAAGCATACCTGAACTGTACTGAACAAAGTGAATGTCTTAGCATCCTCTTTTTGATTCTTGTCTGGTAAAAGCCAGAGGAAGAAAGATTTGATTCCTAAACCAAAAGATTAAGCAATGCACTCAAATAGTACCTTACCATTAATTTCATTGAACTTTGGCTGAGGTGGATACACATTATCTTCCTTTTCTGGAGACATATCAATACTAGTACCTCCGTCTTCTATTCTTTTAACAGGGTCATCTGACATGGCTGAAGAAGAAGTTACATGAAGGCTATTTTCCTCTTTGTTGTTTACCGTTTACTTTGCGCAGAACTCGTGGCTTCAAGAAGAAGTGTACGAAGAGAGCTGAAACACCTCCAGCTCCCAATGCAATGAGGAAACACCCCCAAATTGGAATATTGTCAAGATGCAATACTAAATTAACAATGAAGACTTTTCAAGAAATGGTTCCTTACACTTCGATCCTCCCATAAAAATCATGAAAGTGTTGAAACCAATGCAAGCGAAGTAGATGAAAGGCAAAGCTATCATTCCACATTTGAATGGATTGTCCTAGAAAATTGAAGTAACTGCATGATTGATGTTATTCCTCACTCTTCTCAAAACACAAAGATCAAGCGTAATGTATAACACAAGAGAGACAGTCCCAGATAAGACAGGTGAAATAAACCAAGAGGCAACTACAATATTACAAATTAGTTGTTGATTGGACAGCTGTTTATTACCAATCTTTATGACCTGTTTCCATACGATTCCTTTGGTACCGCTCAAAACTATACTGAATCCAAGAGTGGCTCCGACGATGGAATGAGTTGTGGATACAGGCATATTCAAAGCAGTAGCAATTGCTAACCAAGCAGAGCAACCTATTACATCTCAGTAATTACTTCGTCATAAGTGTTTTAAAACCTCCAAGAACAGCAACTTGGCCTAACATATACGCCTCTGGTTCACTCGCATATATATCAACATCTACTACACCTTTCCGCATTGTATCCGCAACTTTCCAACCTTAACCACATTCGTCAACCGAGGTGTCTTTGTGATCATATTCTTACCCACTAGTATCGAACCTAACGTTTCAACAATAGTTGCCATTATATAGGCTTGAATAATTGTCACTACTCCACTACCAACCGATGTTCCAAAAGCATTTGATACATCGTTGGCTCCCATACCAGCTCCCAAAAGGAAGGCAAGTATGATACCAACAATTAATGCCCATAGTACTGCGTGCTGAAATCGAACATTTGAAGTAACAAGTGGTTCAATCGTCAGCAAAATAGCATGAAGCTTCCCAAGCACATGATATGCAAATTTCAGTGATAAAACTTACGCGATCAAAGTTGATAACAGCCTCTGTCGTTGCTTCCAACAGATCCATTCTGTAATTTACGTATACGCTTCAATATGAAACGAGTAGATCTAAGCAATAATACAGAAAAAATGTAGAAAATCAAGCACTTTATAAGAGGGTTTGATCTATTCAACCCCGCCCATTGTTGATGACGGAATGACAGCAGGCATGATGAGATAGTATCGAAGTTCTAGGAGCAAAGGAACCAAAGTAATTCATTCAAATGCACAATGAACATTTTAATCTATCATAAGTCGATCAATAAGATTGACAAACAAGAAGAAGAGTCTTGTTAATCTGTCCTGAGAGGAATACTCGCAAGTTGTCTGATATAAAAATTGAGATTATTAGAAGTTCACGAGAGAGCATGAAGGGGGAACAGGACTTAAAGCTGCCTTAATCAGATTACGGTTCGCATACATCGAGAGATAGAAGTACGTGTAACAGAAGAAATATAGAGAAAGTGATGGAAGCACTGATATAATAAAATAGATTCGAATAATTTTTGTAGCACAGGTTTAACAAAAGACATCGGTGATTATAAAAAATTGGAAATGTAAAGATCACTGAGTGACCGAGTATGATAGTATCATGACATCATGGTTTACGCCAAATCTGATCATTGAATAAGAGAATTTGTTTGATACAGTCAGTAGTCAGTTCGATGTTTAGAGGTAAACAAAGTTTTTTTTGTTCATTTTTTGATCTGAACAAAGTTCTTCTCAGAAATCTGAAGCAGCTTCTTCTAATGAATGTATTACATCAACTACTGTCCCGCTTAGAGCTATGCAAATTTGCGCTCTACTTCCTTTTAAGCAAATATTCTGAAATTTGATGAGCTTCATATTTTTGTTGAAGACCTGCAGAATAGTTTAATGTATTCAGAACTTTCCGCAAATTGATCATCATTCTATTGTAATCGCTGAACTGATCTATACCAGGGCTCAAATGGAAAGTTAAAAGTCTGAATAAGAACTCAAAGTTATAAAAGGTGAGAGAGTGTGCTGAGGGAGAGAAAAAAAAGAAAAAATGAACCGGGTTCTTTCGCCAAAGGTTATCAATCTGATTTATCAAATTCCTAAGTGTGAACTAATAATAATAATAGTATTGACTGTCCAAAATTAATCTGATCATTTCCTATTTTTAGAGTTATCAAATTGTTATTCTTAATAGCGAATAATTTTTATGTTTAATCCTCCAAACCAAATGACCACCAATGTGTGAGAAACGAAAAAAAAACATTCCATGATAAGAAAGTCGAAGAAAAAGCTTAGTGATTCTTGAATTGATAAGCTTTTTCCATGATTTTTTTCGTTGAAAGCAAGACATAGGAGTATGCTCTAAAAGAGCAACCACCTTGGAATTCCCTCCCATAAAATAGACGATGTTTCCTTGACACTCATTAAAACTATCACTGATGGAAAGGCAACTACGTCAAGAAGCAGCTGATGGAGATGTTTACAACATCATTTCTATGACAGAACTAGAAGATATAATGACACAAGTAGGTTTTGCATTGCAGATATGTTCAGCAAGTTGCTTTGCACTTACGTCGGCCCCGTCCATGTTCGTACTTCACCTTAAGCTCAACCTCATACAATTCATCAAATTGGGAAGTTTGAGAGTGTGAAAAGCCATACAGTATGATTGGAATCTCGAAAAATTGGACATTTGATTTTATAGATGTTCGTTTATGAGAATCAGTGCTTTCTCAAATCGAATAATCATAAAAGGTTAGTAGCAAGCTTTATGATGCTCTTGTTCCGTAAAACCGTTTCGTTTGGTATGGCAAAATGACTGACGACTTTAACCGGTGAAATAAAAAGAAGAGAACCAAAAATAGATAGTTCTCATCTCTCAATGCACTAGATTTGACTGCGTACAGGAGAAGCAAAGATTGTGATGTGAGTGTGAGTGTGGACAACCCAGTTATATTCAATTCTGATTCAGTATTGCTCACTTTTAACAAATTGAAGAAAACAAGCATTCTGTGAATAGAACACTTCTTAACAATTAAAAGAATAGTCTACCTTCTCTTCTTATTGTTGGAAAAAACACAAGAGAAGTTCCAAGACTTTTTCTGTAGAAAGAGAGAGAGGGAGGAAGAGAGGGGTTCTCGCACTGTCCTGTATTTACAGAAATAATAAAAAAAAGTCAAATAAAGTTTTCACATATTCTGCATAAATTCTTTTCTAAAAAAAAAAAGTAAAAATATCGTGAATGACATCATCCTTTTGTACTGCAGCTGTGACAAAATAAAAAACCAGATGATGAGGAAGAGATCAAGAAGTGTCAAATAGATAACACATCAGATAAAAGAAAACTAACAAAATAAAAAAAGTTTGTGAAACGCTTGAACCACTGAATTTATCATTTTATAGTGGTTTTTATATTGTAGAACTATAGGACAAACAATGTTTTTATATAAATACATATTAATACTAATCACTTGGTGAATCATCATACGATGTGTAGGGTGGGTAAAGAGATTAGTACTTTAAAGATCATTCAATGACTGCGTGTGTCAAACATCCGGAAAGGTAATTGAGTGAGTTAGTGAGTGAGTGAGGATTATTATAAAAGACCATAATAGGTCGTCGACACTAATCAAAATGAGAGCTGACTACTAGCTAGACATGTTTGACCGTTTAATCATTATTCTTTCGAAAATATCAAAAGAAGGACAAACAGGTGGAGAATGAAATGTTTAAATGATGAGAGGCAAATTAGTGAGAGCTCAAAACTCAAGACTATGTCTGGGTATGTGATCTCATTCATCCGTTTCCTTCTCGTAATTGTTATCGAGTTTTCATGTTTGCTAAGCTTTATGATTAACACGACCAGGCATCGACAACGGTAAGACAAAAATGAAAACAAGATGAGCATATTGACAAACGTGGTCAAAGTCATTCTGACATCATCGTCTTTTTCAATGTTCGACGACATACTTGGAAAGATAGATTTCGATAGCACGATATGTTTGAAGTAGAAAAAAGACCGCAAGATATTAAACTTCACCTTTCACAAACTCACTATGAAGAAGTAAAAACAGAAAAAATCATTATTTTTTGTATTTTGATCCATAGAAGCAGCACGATGGGACAAAGTATATTCTGTTTACTCTATGTGTGTCTACATAACATGCTGCTTAAATGTTTTCATTTGAAAACTTCATTAAACAAACTGAAGAAGGAAAGCTTCAATCTCTTATCCTTCTCTCTCTATCTCTATCTATCTCTCTCATTCTCTTTCTCTCCACTTTTTAGATTTTCACTTTTTGAATCATTGCCCTATCGAAAGAACTTCAGTTCATCATTTAAAAGTTAAATATGCATAGAATTTCAAAAGAAAAAACAAACGGATATTCACATAATTCTAAAAACTTCCGTGTAATTCACGTGAATTGATGTGATCCACGTGGCATTCAAGAGAACGTGTTAGGCATTATTAGTATTCGTCCTCAAATTCCCGATAGGAAATTAGAAAACATATGCGTATGTACATGAAATCAGGGACGATCAAAAATTATTGTTAGCAATATGAAATGAAATAGAATAAGACCAATGTAAGCGAAGAGAGTAGTTGGTTAAAAATTCTTTGCGGCTTTTTTCATAATGATCTGTATTTATCAGTCTATAGGGGCAAAGCGAAGAATTGTTCGATATTTCAATGAATTCGTAGAGGTTCACATGACATCTTGATACAACGCTCTTTCGCTAGATTGCATTATTCAAATACAGTATTTCTCATTTACACCTGATTCCACTGTACAGGTTATACGAACGAATTGAAAAAGACTGGGAAGGTTATGTCACGCTGAAGGTATAAATTAATGTAAAAACCCAAATAGTTTCACAGAGAGTTAGAAATGCTTAATGACAGATAGCTCGGAACGGTTGTTTCTTCGTTTTTATTTTTATTTAGTTTGTTTCAGACCAGGATCTTTGTTTGAGTTAAGCTTCAATTTGGTCTATGTATAGTTATGAAATGATGCTAGGAGATGATAAGATCGTTTTGCAATTCAGTTGTCTTGGATGAAGAAAAACCTGTCCATGTTGTTCAGTATGATGGTGTGGCTATTGATCATTTCACGTTGATTTCTATATATTCATTCCCATGTAATTATATTAATTCTGTTCTGAAGAATTTTTAACTCAATTATTATTAAGATTAACCCTCATGATATGGCTTGCAAATAATGGATCGAAGTATGGAACCTCAACCGAATGACTTGTTTTTCTATGCTGCCGAAGGATCTTTGGTATATTTAATAACTTCTCTATTATTGCACGACTCAAAATTTAGGCTGATCTAGAAAGAATTGTTAAATCTCATAAAGATTGGCTTCAACACCGTGATGCCAGAGGTAGGGATGCTCTAATGCATGCAGCGATTGCGGACAATTATAAAAATTTCCAATTCCTGCACAAGTTGGTCAGAGTGAAGTATTATTAATAAGCGTTTAATATCAGAAAAGGTCTTTCACTATGGGAAAGAGACTCCAATGGAGCTATAGTTCTTCATTGGGCGGCCCAATGCAGAGCGTACAAAGTGAATCTTGAATAGAATAATTAGTTATACAGAGTGATTAAGGTAGTTCGCCATATTTTACAAAACTCGACAGGACAGGAGTTGTTTCTAGTCAAAGATAAGGATGGTGTCACTGCTCTCCATATAGCTGCTGCCCAAAGCTGTAACAAAATGTTGAAAGTACGATGAAAAGATAAACTTTGAAACAATTACTGAATTTCAGCTTTTCTTAGAGTTCATAACTCCTAATGATAATATTTTCGAAAAGGCGCAAGACAAGAGAGGACGATCACCCTTACATTATGCTGCAAGTCGGGCAAGTGTAGAGTGTGTAGCAACTATTTTAGGTCAGCAATGAGTTGAACTAATCAGGCTTAATCACGTTTTTCTCAGATTCTAGTGTGTTAGGATTAACTGTTGATCAAAAGGATAAGCATGGAGTTACTCCCCTCATGTGCGCTGTAGGAGTTGTTCTGCCACCAGGTTTTTATTATTTACAATAACACATCACGCAAATCTTCTGTTCATAGCAATTGATGTTTGTCGACTTTTGGCACAGCGGAAAATGCTGGCAGTATCGGCAAGAAACAAGTTCGGTCATACAGCTCTTCACTTAGCTGTAGCTGCTTATAATATTTCAGTGGTCAAACTTCTTGTTGAAGAACTGAAGTGTCAAGTCGAAGTAAGATATATTTCGAGTTGAAAAACCACTAAAGAGATCTTTTTTTTGGTTTTTGATAAAGAAATGCGTACGCCTTTACATTATGCGGCTGAACAAGACCAGTCTGAGATCGTTCAGCTTTTGTTGGCCTATGGAGCAAAGAATTCAACCAAGTGGGTAGCATCATTACTTACTTCTTATTTAGTAAAAAAAACTTAAGAGACCATTTTGGAGTAACACCAGCTCACTACGCCGCACAATTCAGCCGAACTTGTCTTGAAACTATATTCGCAACTACAGGAATAACTGTAATCTCGATGAAACTATGTCCCTGCTAAGAATTAATTCAGGAAGTTAAAGATAGACAACAACGATCGTGTTTAATGTGGGCTGTTTGTGCTGGTAACATTGAAGTGATAGAGTTCTTAGTGAAGAGAACAGCTCCTGAACGGCATGATATGGTATAAAAGTTCCGTAAATGTGATAACTATTCTTTCAGGACATACATGGGTTCACTGCTCTCCATTTAGCGGCTATGGTGGGAAACGAGAACGTATGCAAAGTACTAGTCAAGCAAGGATGGAATATTAGCGTATGTATTACAGACCTGCCGCATATACTCTCTGCTATTGTAGGAAAGAGATAAACAAGATAACACACCTTTGCACCTGGCTGCGGGAAGAGGAAACACCGACGTGGTCCGATTTCTTGTAACCTCTGGAGCAAATATAAATGACAAAGACACACATCAAAGAACACCAATATTTTGGGCTTGTTTCGGAGGCCAATCACACACCTTGTACTGCATGATAAAAGAAATGAGTTTTCAGTGGAGAACAACGTAATTAGCATAACCATGCTTCATTCTAAATGAAATTTTAGCGAGAGACCTGCCCGTCCTGTAACTGATGCTTTGGGGAGGACGCCGCTTCATGCGGCAGCTTTTGCAGGTTCTGCTGCATGTATTAACATGATGCTAGGGGTAATAGCTTCCAACAGTTCTTCTCAACTGTCTTGATATATAGATAGAAGCTGAAGATGATTGTTTGAGCTCACCTTTGATTGGTTGGAAGGATAATGACGGTAAATGATTGATCTTAGGTATGTAATAATATCTGTAGGGGAAACTGCTTTGCATGTTGCTTGCGAAAGAGGGCATATGGCTTGTGTTTTGTCTCTCTTGAAAGGTGGGGCAGCAATTAATGCTCTCAATAAACGAGGATTAACTCCGCTGGAGTGTGCTCAAGAGCATAAGGTCAGAATGATACATTGTCAACTTTCATAACAAGAGTTTTAGGCTATCCGCGATCATTTGCAAGCTCAACGAGCGATGACTCGCGATGAGCTAGTGAAAGAAGCAGCGTTGACTATTTGGTATTGGTGGAAATGGAGAGTTAAACTGCGAAGAAAAGCTAATTCAGCGTACCTCTAATTACTATTCTAGCTCTCAAAAAACACTCTTACCATCTATTCAATTCGAGTTATCTATGTTGACAATGATTACATTATAAATTATTTTTGTTTGCAATTGAAGTACGCATACTGTTTGCAACATGTGACACCTGTAACTGGGAAAACTACATTTTACAATAAACAAATTATCTTTTTCTCGCTAGTTCATACTTCCTGTAATCTTATCCCTTTCATCCTCATTTGGCAATCTACGGTAGATCATGCACTGTTTTTACGCAGCGTCCTTCTGGCATCTGTTGTTGGCGTACTCGAAAATTTTTGAATTATGCTATGATCGAGACCCTCCTTCTCTCTAGCGTTCTTCTGTATTTTTGCTTATTTTTATGAGTTATATTACTTTTCTCAACTATCATTTTACCATTTTCATGTTATATCAAATTCACAGCAATAAATTGAGATCCTTCCTCTTTCTAGCGCTTGTTTGTATGTTTCCACAGTTTCATGAGCTAAATTACATTTCTCACCTATCATTTCACTCTTTTCATTTAATATCAACTTAACAACAATTAATATAATTTCTTTCGTTCATCTTCATTCTCATTTTCTATCTCTCGGTTTGTTTTTTTTGTATTTTCTTCCTTTCTCTAACTGTCTACCAAACGGCGTGCCCTCTCTTCTTAATGCATGCTCCCTAGGCAGTCTATAGTGACCTGCAGCGAGCGACGCGGCTCTGCAGCGGTTACTGGCCTGTTCGAATTTGGATTCAAGCAGATAGCAAGCGTTCCTTTTCCATCTGATTTCTTTCTTTCTCTTTCGAATGATTTGTTTTCTTTAATGTTTTTATTCTCCTTTCTTCTGAAATATTATCTACAAAGCTGACTTCTAGGTAACACCAAGCTTTCACAACGTCGTCCAAAATGAGAAAAGGGTATGTTTATTCTTTGTTTTTATGAAAGTTTAATAGCTAATATTACAGAGGTGCTAAAAGAAAGAGGGAAGAGGATGAAGGAGATGTATCTATGCAAGGTGAAGATGAGGATAGCAGAAGTGGCGTTGCTGTTAAAGTAGAACCTCCCAAAGGTAGTTAAATGACATGATGTGAAAAGTAAAAGCAAACATTCTCAGGAAAAGAAAAAGATCCTGAATTCTCTGCTCCTAAAGGCCAGAAGCTAACTGATTTGGATGAAGAAAATTTGGCTACTAATGGACCACCAAAAGTGAGTGATGTTTCAAAGTTCTTGTGTCATTTTCTTGTTTAGGAGATCGAAGGCAACGCAATCGAACAAACTCACTATATTGTTGTTCCTTCATATTCGGCTTGGTTCGATTACAACACTGTTCATCAAATCGAAAGAAGAGCTTGTCCAGAATTCTTCAATGGCCGTAACAAGAGCAAAACTCCCGAAGTGTAAGTTTTGTTCTTTTAATATGGTTTTTCAAAATTATTTCTAGATACCTGGCTTACCGTAACTTTATGATTGATACTTATCGTCTTAACCCTTTTGAATATTTGTCCGCAACTGCTTGTCGCAGAAATCTTGCTGGAGATGTATGCTCTATTGTCAGGTATAATCACAGTTTTTCAGAATAATGTGAATCAGTTATTTTTTACAGACTTCATGCATTCCTCGAACAATGGGGTCTCATTAATTATCAAGTTGATAATGACTCTCGTCCTGCTCCGGTTGCTCCTCCTCCAACCAGTCATTTCATGGTTCTTGCTGATACACCTTCCGGAGTTCAGCCAATCAATCCTAATCCATCTAATTATGCTGTGAGTTTCCTGAACTGGTGAACACCAAATAATTTATCTTTCTAGCCTGAAAAGAAAGCTGAGCCAGTCGAAGACGGCGAAAAGGCTAAAGTTGAACAATTGTCTAACGTAGGTCTCAGAACTGATCAATATCAAAAGATGTTAGCTGCCATGAAGGTAATAAGCTTATCTAAAAATGTTTTTAATCTGATTTTTAAAGGCGAAAGGTGCTGCTCCAGGCCGAGACTGGACTGACCAAGAAACTTTACTGCTTTTGGAAGGATTAGAAATGTTCAAAGATGATTGGAATAAAGTTTCCGATCATGTTGGGACTCGCACACAAGACGAATGCATCTTGAGATTCCTTCAACTTCCAATTCAGGATCCATATCTTTCTGGTGAAGAAGGTGTTGGTGCGACAGATGTTCTAGGTTTGTTTTTTCTTTTTTCGTTCCTATAATTTTTTTTTGTAGGACCCTTAGCTTATCAGCCAATCCCGTTCTCTCAATCCGGTAACCCAGTCATGTCCACTGTTGCCTTTTTGGCATCAGTTGTCGATCCAAAAGTTGCTGCTGCTGCTTCTAAGGCTGCCATAGAAGAGTTCTCAAAGATTAAAGATGAAGTTAGTATATTTTTTTAGTATTTTCTTCATCAAAATATCTTCAGGTTCCTCCTCTTGTTCTGGAAGCACATGCTCGCAATGTTCAAGCTCACGAAGAGAAAACTGGCGTTGTCGACGGTACTGTTGGATTAGCTAAATCAGGAATAGCCATAGAAGAGAAAAAGGAAGACACAGAAGGTAAGAATTATTGATATTATTGTTTTTTATTTCTTTTCCGTGCAGGCGAAAAAATGGACACCACTGAACCTGTCGAGAAGAAAGTTAATGATGTTGAATTGGAAGAAACTGCTAAGAAAGCTGTTAGCGAGAAAGTTCAGGAAGCTGCCGCTAGTGCTCTTGCTGCTGCTGCTGTTAAGGCAAAGGTACTTTTAAAATTTAGTTCATCTGCTTATTCTGTTACTTAGCATCTCTCTACGATTGAAGAACGTAGAATCAAAACATTGGTTGCTCAATTAGTCGAAACTCAAATGAAGAAATTAGAAATGAAATTGAAACATTTCGATGAACTAGAGCAAATTATGGACAAGGAACGTGAAGCGGTAAGTAGTGTATCATGAAGAGTTGCTGATGTCCATTCTCATTTCAGTTAGAGTACCAACGTCAACAATTGATATTAGAACGCCAAGCTTTCCATCAAGATCAACTTAGGTATTTGGAGCAACGCGCTAAACACGAAGCTCATAACAAATTGGTGTCTGCGGGACAACTTCCTCATGGACTACCACCCGGTTTCGAAGTTTCTGGGCCACCACAGCCTACACCTCAAGTCCAAGTGGCCATTCCACCTAGCCAAGATAATCCAAAACAAATTGTGGAAAAAATTGACTCTGCCGAAGTTACTCCTGCTCCTCAGCCTTCTCAGCCAACGCCTACTACAACTCTTCATAGTGCTCCTGCACCAGCTCCACCAACTCCAGCAACTACAGCAGCTCCTCCTCAACCACCAGTACAAGTGCCTCCACAGTCTCAACCTGCCCCACCACATGCTGCTCCTGTTCCTGGACCAACTAGCCAACAGAACCCAGGCTATGCTCCTCAACAACATGCCCCTGGACATTACCCACCACATACTCAACCAGGATTCCCACCACAGGGATATCCAGGACCAGGACAATATTACGGAGGTAAGCTAAACCTAGTGTTTTTCTTAAATATGTTTTAATTTTGTAGGTCACCCCGGCGGTTACCCTCCTCAACAACAACCAGGATATTACAATCAAGGCCGACCATACCAGCAACCACCTGCCCCTGGATATCAGAGACCACCTTATCAGGGACAGCCTCCTTATCAAGGACCTCCTAGACCAGGACCATATTCTTCTGGCTCATACCCTCAGCAAGGTTGGTAGATGAATTCAAAATGTGAATAATGGTTATCTTAGGACATGGAGGATATGCTCCACCTCAAGGTTATGGCCAAGGTCCCCCAGCACACTATCCTCCCCCAGGCGGTGCTCCACCAGGTGCTCCTGGTGGACCCCCTGGAGCCCCAGGGCAACCTCAAATGCCATCTCAACAAGCTTCCTTGCCCCCTGTATCTGAAGCAGCTGATGCTGCCACGCCACCTATGCATCAAGGTAACAAGAATTGAAGCGGTAGCGGTTTTAGAAGCTGTCTGTTTTAGGTGAGAAGACGGAGTAAGTGCTCTACAAGGCTCTAACTAATCATTTTTTTTGTTTTATCTCATCTCTAACATTATCCATTAATTTATCTTCATTAGCTACTACTTTTTCTGTGTAACACGCATCTCTTTGTTATCTTCGGGCAAAGGCATCTCAATTCCCGGTAGTGTACTGATTCATTTTCTTAAGTTCCTAAGTATGTCCAGATTTGAAATGGTCTCTTGTTTATTGGCGGTTTATATATAATTATATATATATATTCTTTGATTCGCTACTCGTTTCTTTTGCTCTTATTTTGTTCTGTAATCTCAATTATTGTTACAACGTCCGCATGAATCATCATTTGAACTGTTAAATAGTTTCTACTACGTGTTTGTAAGAGTTGTAAATTCATAGGTGGAAAACGCTCTGTTGCTGGTCGTTTCAATTAACCAAGCGTAACAAATAAATCAGTTTGACGGAAATTTGTATTTTTTTATCCGAGTTACTACTTTCACTCGAAATACCTGAAATACTTAAGCGACATTAAATGCTGGAGATATTTATTCAGATGGACTCTTTGCCTTCTTCAGCATATTCAGATCATGCAGCTATAGAGCCGGATTTTGCTTTCAATAATAGTAATCTAGACCAGGAAGATGATACTACCCCGGCGGAGGTAACAATGCTCTCTTGAAAGTCAGCTCTGGTTTTTTGAGGTCTTATCTGAAATGAAGGTGTCTTGGCAAAATGAAGTGGCCTCGCCCATTTTGCTGCCTCACAGATTTGATGCTGCTGAATGTCTCATCGATCAGATAGATGGAATAGAAGAAAATTTAGCTCGTCAGTCTGATAAGGTTAGATGCAATACCTCTTGATTTTTTTTCGATGCTTGTGTTTTAGACCGCGCCATGGATAGCTATTCATCGAATGGAGCAACAGCGTCTCACATATATTGTTAATGATTATATAAGAGTTCGCTTAGCGAAAATTGAGCAGAATCCTCGTTGGCTGCTGAAAGAGCATGAACGTAGAATCCAAATGTGTAGGTCTTGATTTCTTTTTCTTGTTTAACCAGAGTCTCACGTTTTAGATAATCCGAGTGTTGAGGAACATCCTGTTGAACTCTTAGCTCCACAAGAACTTGAATTTGCCAAACGTTACGCAGAGTCAGAGGGTATCCTGTTGGGAAATACCTTTTTAGGTAATGTTTTCATCTTTCATCATCATACTTTCTCTTCTAGGTCGCTTACCCCCTGCATTGAGGAAAATTGCTGTTAGTGAGCTAGATACCGAGTTCGATAGAGTAAGCTTGCGTGTTTATCTTATTCAGTTTCTTAATTATTCGCTCAGGTGTTCGCAGAAGTCATGGTAGATGATGTTGAGCAAGTTGTTGTCCCAGATTATCAGGATCCCACCTCTGATGTACTTGTTGGATTGGAAAAAGACTCGGTGCATTTGATTGCTTTCAACTCGGTGCAAAATCAAATTGAGAGAGGGCAAGTACGACTTTTGTAGAACGTTTTCTAGTTTTTACACTTTTCGAAACTCATCATCATATTTTAAACTCATTAACATAAGTTGAATGATTATCACTTATTTTGTAAATAAGCTCAGTTGTATCTCTTTCTCGCGTCATTCCGTACTATTCATGTGTATTTGTTAAAGGATTTCAATCAAAATATTTTGGAATGAAACATATATGCTTCAAGCGTTTAGTTTATTTACTTTCAGTATATTATAGTATTAATAATGAGTTTTTACTTTGAACTCCTCCCAAACTGCCGCAGGATTATAGGATGTTTGACTAACACTTTAAGTGCACGCATATTGTTACCATTTTTGTTAGATTTTTCCCGAAACTTTGCAAGTTTCCTACGTTTCACAATTCTACACTGTAGCATTGAGCTTAATATGTACGTCTTTTCAATTTCATTCTTATCAGGAGCACAGTTCCAAACGGTTGGTTGATACGCATAAGAGAACACCTGAGTCACACAAACTGCGTATTCCCAGAAACAAGATTTGGGAAAGAGCACGAAGATACTTGTTTTTAACTTGTGAAGTAGCCATATATATATCTAGCGTGTGAGATCTAATATTTTAATATCAAGATATTTATGTTTTCGCTTGTTACCTCACCATCTTGAGGTTACTCTGCACGTGTTTACCTATATCCGGTTGTTGTTATGTGATGTTGTCATCTCACTTAGAGTAGGAATGTGTGAACTACCTCACGCAAACATATTACGGTTGAGCGGATGTGGGTGATAAAGCGGTGAGAAGAAACTCATTGTTCTTCGATGTGTACATTACAGTTTACTCCCTCCTCCGGATACTTCAGTTAGTTTTTCTTGAACAGGAATAGGATATGACCCTTATGAGGAAGTAGGCGTTGATGCATCTTAGCACAGTAGGTGGCCATCGGCAAAAAAGATTTGGTAAGAGCTATAAGAGGGAGTAAACATGAGTATCTCCTGTAAGGACATTTTTGTTTTCGTCATTTTTCATTTACACTCCTTATGAGTATTTAGTTTTTATTCTACATATTAATGCTTCTCTGTGAAACAGCGTTCAGAGCTATACGTAGATGCTTTACTTTCCTTTTGTTTACATAATTGAACTTGGGTGTCAATTTTACAAATTGACTCTTCAAAAAGAGCCATCTGGAAGGACTTGTCTAAATTACATATTTCTGTTGTTCTTTTCCATACAGCACTGTTCCTCAAGTGAGTACACAACCAAATTGCCTTTTGTTTTGTGAAGCTCCAAGATAAAATATGATAGCTTCCAACACCATTTCATAATTTTGTTTCATTAACTATTCGTTTTTGATGCGATTGTCATCAAAATCTAACATGATTAATCGTGATGAGGATATAAACGGAACATGTAGTCTTAGCTCAAGTTCTCGTGCTTACAAGTCATCGCCAAGAATATTAATTGAAGGGAGGACCGAGATAAAAAAAACTGAGAAAATATCAGTTGGAGGTCCCACCTACTTTCTTTCCTCACCTCCGAGAGTTGTTTATCTGGCTACTCACTCACACCATTTCAATCTTAGAAGAGCTGTACAGCTTTTGGTTTTTTTGTTATTCTCTTTTCGGTTTTAACTTCCCAATTTTCTTCTCCTCCTTTTACGCTGAAACGATTGCTCTGTTTTTTTTTCTGCTTTGCCCTGTCAATAGCCTTCCACATCAGTATTTGGCATATTTCTGTTTTAGATTTTGCAGGAACTCTCTGTATGCTAACCATGATTCCCAAGAATAAGATCTTTTAACTTAATCAGAATTCTGGTATAATTTATGTGCTCTTGAAGCTCTTCCATGCCATATTAAGGCATGAACCTTCTAATTTCAATGACCGAACCAAGGCATTCTTGATGGACATAGAGTGAAATAGGGCAAAAGACGTTTCAGCTCAACTAGCCATCTCAATTCCATTATTTCTCGCCTCAGGCGCTTCTCTTTTTCTGCTCCTTGCTCACTCAAAAATGCCATCTACTTATACGGCAGTTTTTTTCTTCTCGATTATTCAGTCAGGTCCTACTGCCTTCTCACTTTACTACATACTGCTTACCTTCTTATATTATGACAGTTTTTGGTCTTTTGTTCTTAATTTATGCATAAATTCGATTTTTTACTAATTTTTTATATTTTACGAGACAATAACTTCCGAGGTAATAGCTTTTTTGAGATTAACTGATTTTAACTCGCAAAAAGTCAAAGACAAAGATGCTGTGGCTTTTCAAAGTGAACTGCTCCAAAAGCTAATTACCAAACTTCACTCTGACCTCTTTTCTCCACTCAGTCTATTTTCACCAACTCTTCCTTAGTCTTCTTCGATTGTCATATTCAGTTTTCAACACAGCCATACTTTTGAATGCGTTTGCTTTTCGATTTTCTTCTTGCCCTTATGTAGATTTCAGAACTAATCCGACAGCGAATCGTCAGTTGTCAGTCAGTTATGATGACGATTATGTCTGGAAGCTACTATGTTCGCTAATTTGCTCAGATTATTCTCAAATCCTCATACAACGCCTGTGTCGGCTGGGAAAACGTTTTGGTTGTACTCTTGAAACTTTGATACAAATGCAACCGCTCAACTCGCTATACACGTGGAAATGAACTGAGACCTGAGCATCAAGTTCACGTCTCGCTCGTGACTCACATAATAATTACTTTAATGATGTTGAACTCTCTCTCTCTCAATTTTATTTGTTAATTATATTGTTAATTGCTTCCATCTAATAAGTTGGATATCAGAAAACGGCAGCTGCTTATTGCGAATTTCATTGGCTATGGGCAGTTTATGTGATGCTATTACTCAGGCTCTTGATGATTCTATCGCTTTCACCTGCTCTTTTCTCAGAAATGTTATAATCGGCATGAATTTGGTTTCATGAAAACTCTCGGCGCTAGAAGAACACATAGAATTTTTTTTATTTCTTTGAAGTACACTTTACGAGCTGTTGCTTTCAATATTTTTTGGCTGCCTTAACCGTTTTCTCCTTTACTCTCTGACTTATGGCTAGTTTGATGAAAATAGCTACAGGGCGTGAACAGAACATTCGATTTCCTAAGTCTACTCTGCATCAGACGAAATATCAGAATTAAAATCTCCTGATTCTTCCGATATTTGTTTACTTGAATAGCCAATGTATTAGTTTGAGAGCAATGATTTTTTTATTTTGGAAAACGATACGATAGAGGCTATTCGTGTGTTTAATTGCCTACAACCAGCCATGAACCATAATGGTATTCCTTCTGACTTTTAATCAACTGATTAGCTAATTTAAAAGTTTTTTTTTGTTTCCTACAAGTTCATTGAGATGAAGTCTCAGCACTCTGTCTCTTTTCTTTTCATTACGTAATAAGAATGCAGTGTGCATCTCATTGCTGAAGCACATTCAGGTCATGCTATCATTGTTTCTAATGGAGGGCACAATCATTCGATCGAAAAAATAATTCTTATAATTATCTCTTAGCACAATCTTAATGATATTTCCGAGAGTATATTAGATTTTCTTATATTCAACATTATAAACAGCAAAAAGCAATAAAGAAAATGTTGTTTGACAACTTACTTTCTACTCTCTCTGCTATTCTATTCACAAACGTGTCGACGTAATTTAGAATTTATTGAAGTTCTTTATTTTTTTTCCGTCTTCAGGTAATGTTTTTTGTCGGCTCTTGCATACAACTTTTATAATTCAAAGGAAAACTCGGTGTGTACGTATCAAAAAGCCTTAATTTCATCCTCGTATACAAGCATGAGGATTAACCAAACACAGCATGGAACGAAACCAACTAATTTTTGTGGCGTAGATGAGTATCCAAGATAATACCATGAAATTTGTGTTTCATTTCAGTTTGTTCTAACAATTCGTTTCAAACAATTTTTACTCTCTGCCTCATTGATCAGACTTATCTTTTTGACTATTATGCACAGCCGTTCAAGCACACTAAAAATACATACACAGTGTCTTCTAATTATTTTATACTTTCTATCACATTTTTCATTTTATTAGCTTCTTTCTCATATTTCAAGATTTGTCCGTGTTGCCAGATTGTCCAGATCCATGAGTAGTCCATTCGTCATGAGCAACTTATCCGTAAGAGGAATGCTGACAGTGAGAGATAAGTGGAAAAGCTAACGACTAATAGAGAAAAGGAGGGAGAGGCTGAAGATATTGAATCGAATGAGAGAGAGGAAAGGAATGGGAAGAGTAAAGGAGAGTGAAGAATGGAAGGAGACGTGGATCTTCAGCGTTCGCTCCAAGGAAGCGTTGTCTCATGCTTCATCATCTCATTGTACTATTCAGTAAATGGAAAACATGAACAACAATTGAGAAGCCATAGGGTTATTCTTTACTTCCGTAAGCCAAACACGCGTATGGAAAAAAATTTTTTTTGTGCTAAAGGAATATTATATGACAGGAATGTATTGTATTGTTGTGAAAAGCAATCTAGAAGAATTAGGAATCCCCATTCTATTGAAATGACTTCTGGTAATATGATAAAAAACTTCCTGAATTGTGGATATGTTGTTTTATGAATCACCAAACATTCTACCACTGCTTGCTTAAGTATTAATAGAGTAGAGAGAAACACAACCGCTCATTATGCCCAGTTTTCGGAAAATTGTTTTTTCTTACGTTAAACACACGTGAAGTATATCGACTAGCTACGTTTCATGTGAAGGATCATGAGAACAAGGAAGGAAGGTATATGCAAATATAAATAAAAATTTATCGAAAGAGTGGGAGAGCTAGAGAGAGAGAGGAGGAAACAGATGAGATGTCCTTAGCTAACATTCTATTACGTTGGCAATTGATGTTGGCAAGTTTGGATTCCCTTACTTTTCCAGATAATAGCTATATTCCATCAGCTGAAGTTTTACAAACTTCTTTCTACGTCTCTTTATTCAATTTATTTCATTTGAATCATCTTTCGTTTCGAGTCAGTAGGTTTACCACCATCTGAGCTAATCCTTCATATTCTTTAGAGAGTCTTGAAACTTCTTCAAACTCAAATGAAATCCTTACCAATACACATTTGTATATATAGGCTGTTTTTAATTATAATTTATTATCATCTTCTTGACAAAATTTTTAATTTTAATTTTCCATTCGAGCGATTTTGATTATCAGCAGCTTCTGCTACTGCTGCTACTTTCTCTCTCTCTCTCTCCTTCTCTCTATGTCTTCTCTATTAATATTGTTATGGTGTTCATGTATATTCTCTCAACTACCCAAGTAGTATGTCTATTACCGATTTTCCTTGTTCATTCTTTCAAATTTTCTTTTTAATCTCTACCTCTGTCTCTTACTCCATTCTTTTAGCCTTCACTTCACTCTCTCCTTATATATGTTGAAAGCTCATGCTTCATTCGCTCCATTTCATCTTAAGCTCATTGAAGCGTCATCAAAACTTCATCTCAGCTTCATATCAAGTCATATGAAGACTATTTTGCCTATTTAATCCTTCAATTTTCGAATATTCTTTATTTCTTTTAAAATAGATGAAAAGTTAGTCATCTTTCATAATGTGAAAATGGCCACTATTCGGACAATTCCCAACTTACCATTGCCTTTTCATTCTAAATCTATTTTTGGTTATGAAAATCAAAAAAAAAATGTTTTTTTTTCTCCTCAATATAAGTCTGTTGTAGAGAAAACTTTCTATGGTTCAATGTTTGTACAAGAAAGCGTTCATAAAAGATGTTCTGCTCTGATAATCTTTCTTCCATTCGTATATTTTCAAATGTTTCCTAAGTGAATTACCTTTCAATTTTCAGAAAATGAGAATATCCTGCTGCATTTTAGTTTTGTCGCTTGTCCCTCTTTTAGTTTCATCTTTGAAATGTTTGTCAGGTAAGAGCTTAGCTTTGTTCAAGTTTTGAAAAACAAAGTATTTTAGGCCATCCTCAATCGCCTTCCGTATGTACATCTTTAACATATTGCGTTACGCTAAAGTCAAAAAATGGCCCTCCTCAGCATTCATGTGATGGTGAGTTGCTTGTTGAAAGTTGAAAACATTATGTTTGTTATAGGTAACTCTGTCGGTCAAATATCTCTTTGCTCCAGAGCAGGTTCACGTTCTCGCATGACCAGTTTAACATCTAGTAGTGATTATTACTATGGCGGTATGACTATTGTACCATTCAAGTTATCAGAATTTTCTATTTCAGCTCATTCTTCAATCAGTGGCTCAAGCAGATCGAGCCGTGTATCGTCTGCCCATCAACAAACTACCGATCTTTCATGTTTTGACGGCGGAGATCTGGGACAAATTTGCTGTTGCAGTACAGATTATTGTAATTCAACAACAATATCGTCCTTCTCTCTTTTACTCTTCTTATGCCTTGTTAGCTTATTTATTCTCTGAACATTCTCAAACAATTCGTTTCCAATATCACCATACCTCTGTTTTCCTGCTTTACGTCATCAAATAGACAATTACCCAGGAAAAAATCCTCCTAACATCTTCATTTTCGTTACACTCTTCAGGAATCTTAAAAAGAAAGTTAATTTTCTGCTCATCTCAAAGCATATGATGATTAAATTATTAGGCCTCTCTGTCTCGAAATTCCTTAGAATTTGGCTAGCATACCATTCTCTCTCTCTCTCTCTCTCTCTCTCTCTCTCTCTCTCTCTCTCTCTCTCCTCCTTTCTTCATTTCTTTCACCTCACTTTACCCTTTTTTTTGCCTGCTCAAAACACTAAATTACATTCAACAAAATTGTTTCCAATCAAATCGACAAAATGTATTTGTATGTGATATCACTTAATGGGTACTTCTAATGTATTTTATAGTTTAAGATGTTTTTGTAATAAATTATCATATTCTTTATTATATAATATATTTTGGATATGTGAGTAGTATACAAATATGCTTTCTGGCGCAATTTTTAGTCCACCACTTCCAATCACCAAAAACAGCCATTTTTGGCCATTACAAGGCCTTATGAACTGTTTGAACTACATGCACCAGATATAAAGAATGATATCCACCACACATACAGTTTGTACAAATGAATACTTTCTTATATTATGTTTATGAAAGGGATAAAAAAAATAATAACAATACAAATGTGATTGTTAGTAGTCTGGTTCTGTGGTCATATGTGCGCTTCACCCCTAAAACGCACGCAACGCATGCCACAGGCACCTCCTTTGGTGCCCTTACTCGCATATTTTAATTGAGCTCGTTATCTCATTTTCTAAGTAACTTTTCCCAATTTTTTGAATGCAAATCTTTACTCTCCACCTTCAACTACCTTTGGAAGCAATATGACGCCAATTAAGCAGTTTGAGATCCCACGCGCCGGTTCATAGATATAGACCTTATTCTCACTCTAATAATGCTTCAGAATATTATTCTCTTAATTTCTTTTTTTTGTCATTCCGAGTACAATTTCGTCCTGCAATATCTATCCATGTTTTTAGCTTCTCTATCAACATAATCTACAGTTCCGAATATGAACTAATCAAAGTTCTTTGCAGAAAGTAGAAGTATCGTTCTTGAATTCACCTTAAGATGAATGATCTCCCCTCTGTAAGTTGAGCCAGTATTGTTTAACGTCTACTTTTAAAAATATGTTAAACAGCATTTGTAACATATGTATTTAAAGAACAATATTATGTTCATTTTAGCCCGATACATGTGAGATCACTGCTCTACATCGTCAAGTTGAAGCGTTATCCAAGTAAGATTATCATTCCTTTTTGTTGTTTCTTTTAATTCTTCATCTCATAATTTGGATTTTTTAACTTCATTTTACTTTAGTGAATCTACAGATGGCGCCATTACGATGATGTGGCTACTTATGCTGCGAAGCATTCTTACTTCAACACAATCACAGTTGTCGAGGAACTACTTCTTGAGCCTGATGGTATGTATAGGTTCTATTGTTATCATTTTTATTATTGTATCATTTTTCGCTCTAAAACATATTCTTCTAGTGTCTCCCATGGAGAGAAATTGATACAACTAATTAATTTGTTTTATTCAGTCAGGGTTTGTAACGACCGAAAGCTCGGACTGCCGGTGGCTGATCAGGTATTTTTTTCTTTTCCTATTCTAAGATATTGTGGAGCGCTGTAGGGCAAAGAAATATACTTTTTTTATTTTGTTCATTATCTCTTTATAGACTTCACGACCTGACGACTTAGAGAAACGATTGAGACATGCAGTGAAGTCGACTTGTGATTTGGCCGACATTCTTCATGTGCAGATTGTGCATGGGCATACAGGTATGTGGTAAATATGATGATTATGATATGATGATATCACTCTTAAATCAACATCACCTTTTTACTTTTCATTCAGAAATCTTTTTTTTATATTGTACTACAGGTGATCCTCCCACTGTCGGCGAAAAGCAAGCTGTTGCTGGTGTGAAAGCTGCGCTCGACAATCTCATCAATAAGCTGAATGTTTTATTTTCTCCTGGAAATTGAGGTAGCAGTGCCATAGATAACGATTAAACTCGCTGTTGTATTATTTTGTTATCGTTTTGATCTTTATAAGAAATTAAAAAAATGTTGATATGTCTACCGTGTAAAAAAAACATTTGAAAACACTGGCGCAAAATAGTTGGATGGGCCGGCAAAATGACAAATGGGTCAAGTGCTAGAAAGGGAGTTTTTTATGGGGAAATCGATGTTTTGATTATTTTTGGTTGCGGTTTGTGAAGCAAGGGTGATTTTAGTTAATTCTCTGTACTCAATGAAATCATTCACAAATACTTTTTCTCACCAAAATCACACAAATCTTTTTCATTTTTCTTGACTACCCAGAAATACTCCCCTGTTTAATGAGTGAAAATCCATGAATTTATATAGAAAAGGATATTTATATATGTACTATTCATGTGTTGCAAATGAGATACCAGGCAGAAATCAGTAAAACAAGAATGTATCAGTTCTTTTTTATATAGAATACTATCGGCTTATTCTTCAGCTTATTATATACATCACATTGGGCTGCATTCACAAATGTCTTCAAAATATAATATTTGATTGATGAAATGCAAATCAACACAAACTCACAGTCACATTATTCGTCATAACTCCATAACACGCATGCACATGACCGAAAACATGGAATCTGGAAAAGTCATGATTAGAATATTCAGATTAGTCTTATGAGCAGGTTACCGAGGCTTGATCCGCTCTTCAACTTCTCTCAACAAGAAACGGCAACCCCAACGTTCCTTGCCATGGAATAAATCGAGATAACCTTGAAATATTAATTAGAATATTGTATTCACGTGAAAGAGATTAGGAACCATAACCAGAAGGTTGGTCCCCATTTTCATCTTTGAACAGATGTTGAGCGGTTGCTAACAAATAAAATGTATCCTCACCTAGTGGAGGGGTGTGTGTTATTAATATTTCCGTATCAGTTGGAATGGACTCCCATTTGGGTTCTAAGTGTTCACGGAGTGAAGAGAAAGGAAAACCAGCCAGAGGATGCCACGACGATCCGTAAAACTTAACTCCGTCAATCTATAATTCCATTGAGACGGATAAGATAATACAATACAAACCACATATTCGTTATCATGTAAATAAATTCCATTTGTTATCTGCTTGTAACCTTTGGGTGTTCCTAGTCCTCTCGATCGTTCCTCACGTTTACTTAAATCCTGTCAGAAGCATTTGATATTCTCTAAATATGTTTTTCCAACCTCGCTATCATCGAACCCAAGCTCATGGTTGCCGGCTACAATTAATTTGTGCTTATGGGGCAATTTTCCTTAATAGACTTCATTAATCGAGCAGTAATGATACATATCGTTATTAAACGAGATGTAACCTGGCAAAAACGCAAATAAAAAAAATAAATACTAACCAAGCGCTTCATTAAATTCTTCAATTTTGCTCGTTTCTCCATTGCAAGTGAAATCTCCGCTATGGATTAGAACATCCCCATCGGGTATGATATCCTTAAGATATAGATGGTTATCTCATGGAAATATTTTAAAAGACAAAAGCTTACTAGCATTTCTTGAAGTTGGTCATGCGTGTCAGAAATGCAAACAATTTTCAAATAACTCCCTTCAGATGGGGGAGAGTTGATCTCACTGAAACAATTTTTGACTGCGATCATACGGAATTGATAGATATGAAGGTGAATAAAATAAAAACAAACTTTTTCTCATTGACACTGACGTTTTTGAGGATTTTAGTATCCTTTATCTCTTCCCAATATTTAGCTTCCTCATATGGATCCACTATGAAGTCAGTGTTCATCCCTCTAATATCTACAACCAACCTGAAAACAGAGAACATCACAACTTTTACTAGAAAACATAAAGCATGTCATTCGTTTTGATTTTCAAAGAGTTGACATTCGGAACGAGAGTTCTATAAGAATAGAATACTGATAACTACAAGTTCATGGATAGTGAGCAAGAAAAAGTATGAGAATGTTAAGAAACCTTGTACCTGACTCCAAGTTGTAAACCCTCAAAGAAACAAAGTTAACATTCATTTAAATGCGTTAGTGTTATGAACGGAAAGAACTGAGAGAGAAAGACGAAAGAACAAAATTAGAGTGATGAGAGCTATAGTAGTTATTTAGATAAGATATAAAATTTAAAAAAAAGGGAAAACGTACCAGATCAAAAAGAGGGTGAAAAGTCGTGTGTGAACTTCCATGTTCAGAACTAATGTTGTTGACGACTTTTGAGAAAGGGCTAATGATTGCCTAACTTTAAATCTGATATTTTCCACTTGGAAGTTTGTGAGGTTGAAAGAATAAAAGATAACTTCAAGAAGAAACAAAGAAAAAGCGTTTGGTAGCAACACCTGTTAGTCTGAAAAAAGCTCAGAAGGGCTTTTAGATTGATGTTGCTCATGATTTATATACTCATGAATTGCTGCTTAACTCTTCATATAAAGGAAACATACTCACTAATACAAGAGTAAGCATAGAAAATTGGAAAATTTGTAGTCAGATTGATCGCTTTAAATGTTTCAAAAAAGTTTCTTTGATAAACCGACAGGGATGATTCGTCGGATGCCTTTAGAAACATCTCTCGAAGGGATTTCTTTTGTGTTTTTAAGAAGTTTTAGAGTATTAAAACGTTCAGATCGGATTAAAACGCGAATGGTATGAATTGGTCACAAAAAAATGCGAAAAAAACAGTTTGTCATGTCTAACTTATCGAACTAAAAGTCAAATCGTTGTATCATATAGTTGACAGGCGAATAAAAAAATGAGAACAAAGTTTAGAATGCCAATTGGAGAACAGACTACTCGAACAAAATTTGAAGATGGATGAGATGACATGTGGCCCTCGGGGCAAAACATGGCAAAACAACTCGAAAAAAAAAGTTTGCAAAAGAGTTGTTACTTAAAAAATCTATATAAGATGCGGATAACAAACACAAACCATTTCCTATATATATATATATATATATAAAGGTTGGAAAAAAAAGTTTTAAGACGAGAAAATAGTGAACATGAAAAGTTCAAAGTACAGATAATGGTTCATCACTTAGTTTGCTGTGAAACTGACTAGATAAATAATCTGAGGGGGTGAGGTGTGAGGATTTGCACCACTGAAGGGATTCGAAAGCTATGCTAAAAAAGAGGAAAAGGAAATTTGCTGATCGATATACTGGAATAGTTAAGCCTAAAAATGTCTGTTCAGGGTATAAACGTTAAAATGAAAATTTTCGTCAACGATTACATTCCTGATAAAAACGGAAATAGGCATTTAAATGGCTGAAAGATGAATAAAAGAAGCGAATGAAAAAAAAGCCGACAAGCCTATGCTTTCGCAAAAAGGTGACAAAGTTATGAATGTTTGAAGTTTTTTTTCTTGATGTATTACTTATACTCCCTCTACACTCATGTAGTATGACTTCAGTCAGCAATGCTGACAGTCTGAGTTTGTCTTTCACCCAGAATTGACTGAATTTGGAAATAGTGGAGGAGTTGGTGAGCTCAATAGCCGGGAACTGGCTGACATAAACAAGCTACAAATAATGAATTCTGAGTAAGAAAGTCAAAATTGCCAAAAAACGAAAGAATCGAAGGTCATAAAATCTTTTTTTACATTAATTTTATATACTTTAAAAAAATAACATGCAGTAATAAAAATTATATTGAAGAAGAACTGGCAACACAACCGTTCTGTAGCGACTGCTCGTTAAAAATGAAAATTTTAATTGTTAGCTCACGTGGCTTTCACGGCTTTCAATCGCATGTGTAACGTCATTGTAATTTTTTAATCCGGAAGTTGTATTGATGAGCTAATTAATTTTCAAAAAAGAATAGTTTTGGATATCAATCTACCCCACGTAAAATATGAAAAAAGTTGTATTGAAAAGTAAAAACTCTTTTATACAAATAAGAAAAGACAAATTTGTACAGAAACATGCTGCCAAGACGTCATTCAAAGCGATTTTTGGGAACTAGAGTTAAGAAATAAATAGTAAGTTTGATTTCTGAAAAACAGAAAGTTATAAACGAGTTCGAATATCTTGAAATATTGACTACATACTAAGAAGAATACGAAAATTAAAATTCCTTTCCTACTTTGTGTAGACAAACGACTTCCGTAGTTATAACAACATTAAGGTTAATGGAAAAAAACAGGCAGAAAACGTAGGGTGAGAATGAGGAACAGAAAAATACCCGAGAGAAACGAGAGAACAAATATGATAATAGATGGAGTTGAAGAAGAAAACACTTGGCTAAAAGCTGATTTTCTATTGGAACGGATAAATTGTTTGAGATAATTTCTGGATATAACCGTGGTGTGTGAGTATGATAAGTATAAATTCGTTTCACAGAAACATCAGAGTCGGGAAAAAACTTGAAAAAAGTTTAAACATTCTGACTCATGATGTTTTCCATATCAACTTCCGTTTGAACACGAGCCAGTGCTATTCCCGAAACTGATTTTGGTATTACAGGCTCAGAAGAAGTAATTGTCATAACTGGGCCAAGATCAGTTGATTCGTTGTCCTCTGAGCACTCAAATGGAGGTGGCTGGTTTTGAGCAATGCGAAGAATAGTGGGGCGCAGTGAGTGTATGGTCGATTGGACAGTAAGCTGAAATAGGAAAACGTGAGAGTGGTTGTGGATTTTTTAGAGGAAGTAGCAAAATTGGGTGGGAAACAAACCTGTTCGTCCTGCTCAGGCACAACGCTAAGCTTCTTATCACTTGGTCGTCGACCGCTGTTCATATGAAGATAAACGGATGAAACAGAGTTCATCATCTGGAAAGTTGTAATAAGAACAACAAATCTTGCGATAAAATGCAAACCTTTGCATCATCTTCCTCATGACGAATGAGTTCTTTGGATTCATGAGAAGACGAGTAATTCGATTCATTTCTAGAACGATAATTTAAAGATCAGAATGTTTACGTCAAATGACAGTACACTCGAACTAATCACCTGTTGAAAAGTTTGAGTGAAATGTAGACAGGAGAGGGAAAGAGGGAGGGAGGGGGAGTAAAAACTAACCTCTGTCCGGAAAGAAACGAGACCATAGCATCCGGACAAGTAGCCATTGATACTAACCAAGCGAAAAACATTACACAGCACAATATAACAATAATGATAATAGCCATAAGCTCATCCATGGTTTCCTGAATAAAGCAAAATGGAGTTTTTGAAGTAAAAATGATCACAAAATCAACGATTAAGATCTAGTGTTTACATTGAGAAGCCATGCTTGGTTAATCTATCACCATCGAAGAGAGAGGCAAAAAATAAGAAACGTGAGCAGAGAAGGTAGAAAACACAGTTTGAAGACATGAATACACGCTTTTCAAATATTTTCTGGGCTGATTTAGCCTGGAAATAAGTGAAAAAGGGTTTCCAGACAACGAACGGGAACAAACGAAACAGATGGAAAAGACGAAACACAATGCGATAAAAACAGAAATTGGATAAGAAAAACAGTTGAACCTTTTGAAGCAAAACATGGAAGAGAAGCGATGAAAAATTAGTTTCTGACTGCAAGCTGATTGAACTCCGTAATGATGGAGGGAAGTTGGTTCAAGGAATAGGAGAAGACGAGACATTACACATGCCGAGGGAGAGATATGCTGATCAAACAAAACGTAAATTTCGGGAATAAAGTGAATATCGGCGTAACTTATTAACTTTCGAGCACTTTTAGAAAAGAGCAAATGATTTTTGAGCGAAAAGTCCTGCGTATATGTCAAGAATAATGAGTTTCATCAGAGTGGAAAGAGATCAAGAGTTAAATGACACACCATATGACACTGTAGCCATCTTCATAAAACAGCGTTTAAAGCGAAGGTGACCAGAGGATGCTTCTGCTCCAAAGCTAATATTCGCGATAGAGCACGTGTGTCTTAATACGAGCAAGAACGCGGTGGTACGATTTTGATTTGAAAAACCATGAATATTTTGAAAAAGATTAAATGCAGGAGAGACAGAGAAGTAACAAATCTAATAGTTTATCAAAGGTAAAAGTTGAAATATAGTATAGATGTGTGTTTGTGTCCAGATAGTCTAAAGTAGAGCGATATCAATTTCCAATAGAAGATAACATATCAAGGAGATAAATTGAATAGTTAACATTATTTTGGAAATTAAAAGTTTAAAACATCAATTGGTACGATGGTAAATGAACAAACTTCTATTATCTCTTCGTATATAGAGAATGAAAGGAATTTCAAAAGCTTCATCATCACCATCTGTCAAAAATGGTTTTGCACATACTGTAAAGTGAGAAAAGCCAAAAACTTTTTTTAAAAAAACTTTTCCTGTTTTCTTTCGTATTTGTTTTTCAGTAAGACAATCAATTGACCAGATGTACTGAGCCAAAAATGGTCGATTGGAACACAAGAACACGTGATAATGGCCAGTAAATGAGGTTGTTCGCTTATGTGCTCATCAGGTCAATATATCAACGTCGAGGCATATAGTTAATCGATAATTTTGAAAAAAAAAATTGAAAACCGTTTTGTTGCCTCCCGTAGAAAACATTTGGAAACGAAGCTTAGAGTCCAGACAACAACATGTATCGTTTTAAACTGTATGAAACGGATAAATTGACCTCTGACACTGGCAAATTGAATTTATAAAAGCAATTCTCAAAATATTTTTAATAAAATTAGCAAATCATCATGATCAAAGTTGGCCAAAAACAGTGAAGCTGAAAGGAAGTACGTTGCCAACACCCCAGGCGAACTGGCTAGACCGCAGCAACTCCTCGCAGAGAACATGTAAAAATAGGAGAACAAATAGAGAAAAATGGAAAATCGATTTCAGCGCAGATAGTTGGTTGAAGAAAAAAGGAGGAAAAATTGAAAGAAAATGAGTGAATCTGCAGTTTTTTTGTTGTTAAAGAAGATGTGATGAAGAATACAAGAAGGTTTTTGAGTTGGAGACAATGGACGATGGTTTCATTCAGATTTTGTGAAAATATTGATTGATAGTATATTAGTGTGAAGCAGATGTTCTTTATATTCTATCATAAAAAAAAAGTTTTCATAATGATAAAAGGTTGATAAACACTAGACTACCAAATACAGCCTCATAAGTGTTTATCTCATTTGAATATGGTGGGGGGGGGAGTTATGAAAAGAAAGCAACAGAACAACCGTTTGTCAGCACGCGAAAACTCAAAAGTGAAGCATATCCACGTCACTCACGTCATTTACGTGAATGTTGAAGTTCAATATATCATTGTTGTTGAGACATTTTTCAAAAATTAAAGAAAAACTCAAGAATGTAAGAGAAGAAGAGAAATATTTTATGAAAACAGTGAAATCTGTTTATTTGAAACACTCTCTCATATGTGATGAGAATAATAGCATTTAATGTTTATACACATTTATCTTTTCAAATAAAGAAAAAAAAAAGAAATTTTCGTATAGTTAGTGGATGAAATGGAAACATCCAAGTAATCAGTGAACTACAGCTGTCCTGCATTTGTTTTTTCGTTGTGTTTGAATGGATAGAAAAGACAATCATAACTGATGAACAATCCATATGATTTTGATTACTGTTTATCAGAAATTTGGCAATTCGCATACAAGAATGCTTATCTTCATTTGCCCTTCGGGGATTTTTTTATCGAATAATCATAAAAATGTTTATCTCACTTGTTTCAGGAGCAAATTTTTTTTTCTGTACGTCTCCAGTTTATCTATGCCAAATGACAATTATCTTTCAATTAGTCAAGAAAATATTACAATTTTATTAAAACGAACGGAATTCGTACTGAAAATGAGATCAAAAACCAAATACTGCTGAAGACAAGTAGGATTTGTGGAAAATGAATTGTTGAGTCAGATGAGTTTTGAAAGAAACAGGGAGGAAGAAAAGGAAGGAGGAGAAGTAGAAGAAGAAGAAGTAAAAAGTGGAAAATGAAGAAACATCTTGATGAGTCTCAAACATGGAATAGAAAGAATGGTAAAGTAAAACAAAAAAATTAAAAATCTTCTTTAGAAATATAAAATGTCCAATGAAATGAAGGGGTGTGGGGGATGATTGTTAGAAAAGATAAGAAATTGACGTAGTTACTGATTAGTAGAAAAGATAGAAGAGCCATTTCTACGAGAATCACAATGTAAAAAGACATTTTTCGAATGTGAAAATGAGAAGACAAGAATAGATGGCAGCGCTAAGAAAGAAGAATGGAAGAAAAAAAAATTTTTGAATTATTTCTTATTTTGTTCATAAGAAAATGTTTATTTGTCTATGCGATTATCATCTACAATATTAATGATTAAAACAAGCTCAATGGCACGTTATTGATGGCCAAGATTGAAAAGGAGATTTCTTTACTTCAATTGATTATTGATGAAAGAATAACAATGGATGAAACAGATTGATAGGAGTCATAGTTCAAGAAATAATTATCAGAATATGATAAGAAGTTCTATTCATTTCCGGTCTGTCTCTCTCTCTCTCTCTTTAAGTCCGACAACTCTATTTATAGAAGTTGGTGAGTTGATTCAAGCAATAATTTAATTTTCATTTATATGTTTGTCAAGTCTTTGTTCTGATTTTTTCCTTTTTTGTTCTTCTTCTTTACATATATGTATTCTATTGAATAATACTTTTAATAAATGAAATCATATTTATGATTAATATTATTATTTCATCTCGAACAATGACGTATTAGATGAATGTAAAAACAACGAACACGTAAAGCTTCTTTTCTCCAAGGACATGCGAGCTTTAAACTGCCATGAAAATATTGTAAATATCAAAACTAATCATTCATTTGAAACTTTTATTAACACACAAACCTGTTGTCATTGATAATTTGACAAAAAAAAAAGAATTGGAAAGCAACCGCTCTGTGAGGAAACAACAAGTAGAAATGAGATGGCGTTTTGCGTGAAGTGTTCGCTTACGTAAACGCTGGATGCGGGAGATAATCGGATACAACGTGGGTTTGGCGATTCTGATGTTTGTACCTGCTGTCAACTAATTAGGTTCAGAAAAGCTAATTCGATTGGAATGTAAATGTTTTTTCTAATGGAAATCAAGTTGTATTTAATTGAAACTTCTTCTCAGATAGCAATTTACTGGAATAGAAAATATCAGGCTAATTAGAATATATAAAAGGTTAAATATGAAATATTAGCTTCATGAAGTGAAGCTTCAAGATAGCAGAGGATGTGGAAGATTTCATGTGTATGTCCTTGACAAGGTGAATGATAGGGTTATCAGCTGCTTGTCGAACTTTAAGTTAGATGCAATAACCCGTTTCGGACTTAAGATTTTTCTAGTTATGTTGTGACAAGCAGATGAAAAGAGGACGAATTTGGAGGATTACACATCTGAATGATCCGCCTTCAACCATCAAAGTTTCTGCCATTCATTAAATTCCAACTTCAATAAGCTTGTTGCTTATCTAAGTCTCTTTCTTAGTAGCTACAACGCTTTAATGAAAATTTCGCTATTCTGCTTTGTTTTTTTCCCACTCCTTTTTGCAAATTATTTGAAGGGTCAAAACACTTCTATTTTGGAACAAAATCATAACTCATTAATCTTATTTTCACACCAAAACAGCTTCTCGATTTTCTTTCACAGAAAGAAACCTGAAAACCGTTCGTTCTATTTATCGTTTTCGGTCACACCTGAGGTTGTTAATTATCTCAGCATGCATCCAGAACTTTCCTTTATAAGCCGAATCATTTTCAGCTTTTATTTAGAGATGCTCTATCCTCATAATCATTACTTATTTCAGAATGAATAAGGAATTTATTATTCTTAGTATTACATTTTCTGTTATCTCCTCTTGCTGCCTTCCACCCATCCCGACATGTTGTGGAGGAGGTTTTCAAACGACATCTTGGGCATATGCACCTCCTAGAGTTGTAGGATATCACAGAGTAAGTTCAATCATTTCTCAACGGTTCATCCTCCCTCTTTTCAGATACCGATTTATATGAAAGTTGCAGTTCCTCCTCCACCTCCACCTGCTTAGTGAGTTTAATGAACTTAACCTTGTCTCTATAGATAATAGATTATTTCCTAACCGAAACTTATGTTTTTGTAATCGTTTAGTGCTGTTGCTCCTGTTCCTACAATGACACAGCCCATGTATGTGCATTCATCTAAGCTTTAGTAATATACATTCACTAATTATGCATTTCAGGGTAGTTCAAGCCCCACCACCCCCCATGCCACAACCCATGTATGTCCTCCCATCTAAGCTCTAGCACTATACATTCACTAATTATGCATTTCAGGGTAGTTCAAGCTCCACCACCCCCCATGCCACAACCCATGTATGTCCTCCCATCTACGCTCTAGCACTATACATCCACTAATTATGCATTTCAGGGTAGTTCAAGCCCCACCACCCCCAATGCCAATTCCTAGCCCACCAATGTTTGTTATTGCTTTAACAAAGGTTTTGCTAATGAGGCTTTGCTTGTAGGGTAACTCAGATAACTCAAAATCTACCTAACACTTATGCTTCACCTCCTCAAATACTCGCGCCCCAGACAATGTAAGATGATGTTGGTTGTCAAAACAAGAAAAGTTACAGGTTATCTGTCCCTCCACCCCCACCTACCCCTATGATTGCTCAACAATTACCACCCCAGCCTCAAACAATGTAAGTCGAGTAACGGCTTCATCTAGTCAAACCACGACGTGTCAAAAACCAAAAGAGTGTCGTTTAGTGTAATTCAAGACCAACCACAGCTTCCCGCAGTTCCAGTAATGCAAAAACCCACCATGCTTGTGTTCGTTACTAATTCAGTCAAATGTTTTCGTATAATTAATTATAACTGAAAATAATATTCCTTGTATCTCTTAACATAATATATCCAAATCCTCTTCAGTGCCCAACCTCCACCTGTTCAGCAGCAAATAATCGCTCCTCAAGGTTATCAACAATCTCCTCAAACTACTATCATCCAGGAGCAACAACCAGTTGCTTATCAGCCTCAACAGGTGAAAACTTAATATACTTTCTTGGTCCTTCTAGAAGTTATAGTTTTCGCTCTTTTCTAGACTATAGTAGATGTATCCTCTCAAACACAAAGCTCTGTTCAGATTGATTACAACCAAGGAGCCGATCAAATAGGAAATGCCATTGAAATACAACAAGTATATTCCAAGCAAAGTGATTGATAATACGTTCCTGTTTAAGATCAATGGAGCCAAGAAATCAGCGGCTGCATCCAAGAACCTACGAAGATCATATTTGAAGCAAGTGAAACTTCAATAGATCGGAAAAACTGAGATAAAACACTGTTTGTATATGAATTGAAATATTTCCATAAATGCTTGCGTATTACGTGTTCACTATGAGTCTGAATTTTCTTTCATCGATATCATGAAATGTGATTATGACTATGTTTTATCTATTACAAACGTTGAATAATGGTCTAAGCACGACTTTTTAAACTGCATTACAACCCCTTGGGAAAATAGATAACATGTTCGTATTGTAATTCTGACAGAGCTCTTACTGTTACGAAATCAGAGTCATGCAAACTATAGCGGCACCGCGTGTGCCCCCTCGACCTTCTCCACGGCTAAATAATGTGCCAAATACATCTAGACCTCCTCCTTCTTTCATTAACAGGAGCGTAGATAAAAATAAAGAGCCTACAGGAGTTTTAATTCACCATGTATTCAAGAAACCTAGAACAATGGTATCAGGACTTCCTTCTTATTCCTCTCAGTTAGAAGATGATCACACGAGTTGGTAAGTAATACTCTAGTGGATTGATAGCTTAATAATGTGCTCCAGGTGTACAATGGCTCTCTGGACTGACGAATACGTGAAAGTTCTGATTGAAGGAACTCCCAAGAATGTTAATTCTGAATTGGAATTAAAATTTAGTACGAAAATATGTGTTCAAATAGATCTGAAAGATTCTGACGGAGTTATATTAGATAGATATAGGAATGATGTGAGTTCCCATCACCTCTTCGAGATTTTAAAATAGTCTTGTTATAGCGTTTACACGAGTTTCTTAAAACTGAACACTCGAGCAAATTTGAATCGATTGCACTTGCTTCTTTCAATTTGAAAGCCAAACCAACTACAAATACACTGGAAGTCAGTGTGAAGATGTTGCATAACTCAAATAAGTAAACTGTTCTCATGAATCCAATGTTCATTCTATGTTTTAAGCAATGGTCTCGTACCGGATAGGCCTAAGCCGAATAACAATCAAGGATCACCTTCAAATCCCCCTAGAAAACCGTTGTTTTGGAGGGATTTTTACGAGTTATTAGGAAAGGTATGTTTCTTCTAAACACTACTTTAACAAAAATATTCTTAAGCAAAAAGGCTTCATAAATATACATTTGGGGAACGATAAAGCGGAAGAAATTATTGGTCCCTTCAAATGGTAAGAACTTTCTCGATACTTTGTTTGTGAGTCATCCTCTCAGGCGCTTTGTCTGTAAAAAAACTGGAAATGATTATTCATTAGAAGGGAGTTATGAGTTTATCTACGATGAACATAACTCGTCTTCGTGGAACCTAGACTGCAAGATTCAGCTTGATCAAGGAGAAGTTAAAGATCTTTTAATTACGAACAAATCAAAAAATGGCAAGATTCCAACTTTCCAATTCAAACATTTTTCGAATGTCGAATGTGGAAAGCAGATCAGCATAGTTCTATCCGAAATCGTAGAAAAACTGAAGTACGTTCGTTTTGATATATTGAATGAAATCAGCCTAACATTATAGAGACCATCCGAAAACTATTATTAGACACCATCAGCATCGGGATCATGATGTTGTAGTCCGTTCAGGAAGAGAGAAATTCTACATACATAGTCAAGTTATCTTTTCTTTTCTTTCTGTTCTGACATTCTCACTCAACAGATTTTGAATATTCACTCTGAGACTTTATTGAGGATGGCTAAGCCTATGCCAAATCAGAAAAGATTGATAAAGGAATTAGTTTTGGATGAAGGTGGAAATGCAAAAGCAGTTTACCTTTTCTTGCTCATTATGTACAACGCTGCAAATACAGTACCAGGTTGGTACTGTTTGACAGATAGCTGGAATAAAAGTTGGTTTAGAAGAATTGGTCAGGAGCATGTATGAGTTATCGGCAAAGTATGATGTTGCTGTTGCTTACCACGCTGCACGCACTTCCTGTTCATCGAATTAATAAATTACTTACAATGAGAAGTTAATGTATAGCTGTGAGATCAATGAATCCGTGTTCCATATACTTATAGTTGTAACTGCAATGAACTATTGAATAGTTTTAATATTGAATGTAATTTTTAACACAAGAATAATGTACGAAGTTTGATTGGGATCATTTTTCTTAATTCTCCTCCTACTCGCAGTTATTTGTCCTTCCAATCCATTCTGAGCTACAAGCTCCTCGTTGATGAAAAACTCTCCCAAATAATGATCGCAGAATTATCCAAAAGGTTTTTGAATTTTGTTCTTGATTATAGAAGCTGATTATGACAAATCTGAGAAACGAATCAGCAATTTAGGATTCCTTCATACGAACGTTTGCGCATGAACTTACTTTGATGTTTCTAGATTATCAGATTTCCTTATAGCCAAGTATAGAAAAGTAATTTCTTTCTGGTTGATTTTTCTACTATGCTTGGCGACAGTCGTGGCAGCCTTCGAAATATGGAAAATTCAGAAGAGAAAGGTAAAATGGTGAAGTTATATGAGTTATTTAATTTTGATATTAAGCTGCCTCCAATCCAATACTGGAATGAACTGGGTAAGCTACAATTGGTTTCTTATAATAGTCAGCTTCAGCTCACGAAAAGGTCGTTTATCCTCTACTAACTACATGGGTTATTCTGTATCTACTGAGATCATCATTCACAATGATCACCTCGTTAGGAGTCTCATCTGTGATCAGTTGTCTGCTGTTTTATCTACTAAACATCATCAAGCCCCTCTCAACCTCGTTCAACAATATTTTGATAATCAATCTGTACATTGTAATGATGAACTTGAACAGTTTAAAAATCAACTGGGACACTTCTAAGTCAGTTTTTGAAGAGTTCCGGATGTGTCTATACAATCTTTGTTCAGACAGGTTCCATGTACTACAACTATGAACAAACTTATTCAAAGCTGTTTGGATTTGAGCCTTATTCAGATTTTCAGATCAAGCTTTCTTCCTATTTCTATAGCCTTAGCTATTCTGGGCTTATCTCCTTTCTTAAACTCGTGGACACTACTTAGCTTTTTCATTATTATTATAACCCAACATCTGAGCGCATTATCCATGGCACTTTCCATTTACTTGATCCGAAATGAAATTTTTCTAGTACGTTCTAGCACATTTCTGTCCTGATTTTGGAACACTATTTCATTTCTAGACATGCCCCAGCTTGTGCTGCTCACACTCTCTTCAGCGTTCACTGAAAATGGTTCAGAAGCTAGTGTGCAAAGGATATGCCAGCTTTCTGAAATACTTGAAAGCCAAAAAAGGAGTTGATGCTCGTTTTTCTATCTACGTGCCTCTTCTTCTTTTTTCATTTTACACAATGTAAGTATCTTTCATTTATTTAAAATATTACCTTAATTCTTTATTCCAGGATCGCTTCTGTTAAAATCCTCGTTTCGAGTGTAGGAGACCAATTCATCAACGATCTTAGCCATGTAAGATCTCAACACTTGTCAACTTGCAATAATGATTTTAGGGTTCCATCTTGTTGAAGAACTTCGCTATCATCGCAGTAGTTCTCCTTTTGTTTTCGCCATTTCCTTCTGTTGGTTTTATGTCGAACCGTCAATGGAATCTCTCAATGTTCGGCATAATCTTACTAGTTACTGTTAACACTTCATTCGTCATCTATACAGTCCAGTTGATTCTTACCAACTCACCATGATTCGGTGTTCTTCAGGAGCTTGAAAACGCTTTTCCAAGTTTGGACTTGTTTGAATCGTTCTTCCTAGTACTCATTCTCGTAGATGGAATTTACAGAATTTTCATGTATGTCCCGAACTCGAGGTAAGTCTGCAAGAGAAGATTGCACCTTTTAATTCCATAGAATTGGATATCATTCCAATCGTAAGTTCAAAACAATAGAACTCGTAACATCACAGCGTTTTGCTCCATTAATTGTCATTCTCATCAATGTGAGCAGTCATATGTCCATGTATAAGGTATGTATGAGGTATCGCATCAGAATTAATAACTGTATTCATAGAACTGGCTCATCATGAGCGTTGCAGCTTCGACAGCCATTTTCAGTGATCTTCTCCTGACTCCTGCTTATTTCTTGCTTTATGGTTTATATGAAAATATCAAGGATTTCTAATAACAATAAAGTTTTCAGAAAGCTTAGGTGTTTTTCCTGACTTGGAGGATACTTCGACTTCGAATGATAACTATCCTTCTAGCTCTGTTAGAAGCCAAGACCCAGATAGTGTAGTGAGCAAAGAGCAAACTTATTCATCGTCAATAAGTCAAGGTTCGAATTAATCCTAATTAACCTGAAACAATGATACATCGTCAAATAAGCTATCCGCTTATCGTATTCTGACCAAACGTTTGGAAAACATTTTTTTCGAATCTGAAACACAAACTCAGTGTCTCTTGTAAACTCTAATTGATTCTCAAATTGCGCGAAAAAGCGTTTGATTATCCACTGCAATATGAGATAGACACATTCACATATCAGAATATCTTGAATTTCAGGAGTAAATCAGAAGAGATCTTTCTGTGTTCAAACATCTGATATTCGTCGAGCTTCAATGCCAGTAGTCATTCAACACAAACAATTTTCTAGGTATCAATATTTATATTTATTAATTATTTCTTCATCTTCTATTTCAAGAAATAAAAAAAGCACATGTTCATCTCAAATATCAAATTCAACACTACAACTTGGTCAAGAAAATGAGAGAAATGGATCTGTTATTTCATCTTCTTCTGTGACGGAAACAATTGAAGAGGAACCAATCGCTTGATTCCTGATTCTGTTTGAATGCTTTTCACAAAGAAATACATTAACTCATCGTCACTTTTTGACGTCATTAGATTATTCTTCATACAGTAGAGATACGTAAAACACCCGTACATTCAAGCTCTTGGGTTGGGATCGTGAAGCTCATTGACGTTTCAGAATATTCAAAAAAGGAATACGAAGAGAATTTCAGAGAGGAAAATCATTAACGAAGTTTTCAACTTTAGGAATAAGCATGTGAAGTTCGTGTAGAAATGATTGAATATCCCTGACAGTAAATCCTTTCATGTATGCTTCACCGTTCTCAATAATAACATGATAAAACATTTTATGGCATCTTTTGACAGATCTGAATATTAGAAGTTAAACTTCTGAATCGATTGAAAGAGCAATACCTGTTGAAATCACGTGCCCACCATATGGGTGTTCCTGATGTTCCCCAACTAGCAACACGACAGATTTCGTTGGGTCCGTTCTGTTTTATGTAGTAGACGGCTTCAATATTTTCAAGATTGATTTTCTAAACATCATTCTCATAAAAAAACATAGATTAAGTACAATAGCTCACCTTAGACTGAAGAGTGGGAAAATAGAAATTCTTGAGAATGAGCTTGTTTTCTTCAAGAATACAATAATCGTCCTTGTATAAACGAAGCTTCTTCTTAGCTTCAGCTTCACACGAGGGAAAAATAAACGGTTTTTTGAGTGCTAAACACATTTAGAAGAGCAGCAGAGCTGTGAAAATGATGATATTCAGAATGGAATATATCGCTATTAAATAGTCTAAGCCTGCAATCGTAACGATTATACGTAATTCTGATAAGAAAATTATATGAGTAAATAAGTCAGATTTCATAATCGACCAAAACTATCGAATGATGTAAAATGGTGGGTGCGACCATATGTTCTTTGACGGATTAATTTGCATACGTGGAATAGTTAAGGGATTATCTGAATCATTTGCATGTTCACGCAACTTACGTGAACCTTCATGTGGTTGCTTCAGTTGTAAGCGAACCAGTTCATTGAACTGCTTCGTAATGATTCTCAAAGCAATATTACTGTTATTCATATCTAATGTACTTAACGCAAATTTTGTAAGTTTCTATCACGAATTCTTATCATCACTACATATGGCAGACTGAGTATCTACGACTGCGAGTGACCATAGAGAACTCAAAGTGCCAATGTTCGTAGATCACAATGATGTGAAGAAATGAAATCATAAATGTTGCAGCTTCATCGACAGAATCTGCTTTTACTTTCTTTCTTACAACATTATCTCGAGAAAATAAGTTCCTCGGTTGGTACCCCATACATAAGAAGGATTTCGTGAAATCAAAAGAAAAATTTGAAATTGAAGTTTGTTATAACAGTGTTGTCTAAATAGTATTCATGTAGATATACAGAGATAACTCGTTGCGTTCGTCTCATCCGACAAACATTGGGCAGTGTTTTGAAGAAGAATATGATGTGAGTTCAAGGTTCAAGACCATTTTCAGAATTTATAATACTTCTCTAGTCTGATGTGGAGATAGTTTGCGTACCTACAGCTGATGCATTCTTTGTGTATTATCAAAATGATCCCGTAGATACATGGAGTATTGGATTCATAAAAGTTTATGTGGATTTTTTCTTTAATAACCAAAGGTACAGCCTTTGTAAGCATAACACGTGTAATACCCTTTTCAGTTATCAATGGTATTTTGAATATACTCCTCCAGCCCCTTGCTCATCATATATGAACGATGAAGGTTTTTATCAAATAGGTCCTCGTCCAGGAATTTTCATCAAATGGGAAAACGTGACAGGCCCACAGATAGGCGACTGGATTCGTGATTGGGTTTAGAATGAACTTCATATTTGTAAAACAAGAGAAACAGAAATTATGAAAAAAAATAAATAACTGATGCACAGACGGGTTGCTTTTGATGATATTTTGTGCTCAAAATACAGTATAGTTTGTTAAAAGCGTTTAGTTTTGTGATCAGATAGGCTGTCAGTTGTTTTCTTATCAATCCCTAACAGTTTTGATTCTAGTTTTGCGACTCCAATTTCAAAAATAGCACATCTAAACAATATTTTGGGATGAACGCATTCAATCAGAAACTAACAGAAGAACTGCGGCACAAGTTGTTAAGCAAAAGGCGGGTATGAAATGTGTTACGATCTATAAAATATGAAATGTTATTACTATGCAATAAAGAATTCATACCATCTGAGTATAACTCGATAAAATATATCTTTGGCCATATAAGGAGCCCATCCAGAACAAAATGCTCATATGAAGAAGATAAATGGAATAAGAGAGTCGGGCGACCGGTATGAAGATTGGTAAAGACAAGAAGTCATTAATGATTCCTTCAAAAAAATTAGGGAAATGCGAGCTTTTCGTCATCAAGTGAAACCTCCGTAACCATGATAACAAGCGTACGTGAGATAAGCTAAGCATAACCCCCATAGTGGCTTACTGACTGCTGAGTAAATTGCTCGAGGGTAGATTGGAATGAGATGACCCTGAATATGTTATGTTATAGAAAAATTCTCTACCAACCTGGAAGTAATGATATAAGATATGGATCAGTCCGAACATTATGATTCCACATAAGGCTAGTAGAGTCATATTTAAAATCTAAAATATAGATGCTGCAAACAGTTTGCATACGAAAACAAACTCGGCTAATTCTCAATTTTTTCGTTGTCTGCATATAGTATCCAAGCATGATACCAATGAGATACGGAGGACAACGAATCCATGGAGCATCATAGATGAGTAAAGTATACGATCTAAATATATTAACTAATTTTTTATACTGTTTGATACTTTACGAGAATGGTTCTGTCATCAAGGGATCTTTCGGCAGAGAATTTGCTGGAGCATCTGTTGGTGGAAAATGGTATATTACCATTGTAGCAAAATGAATCATAAAGGAAGTAACAAGCAGAAAAACTAAAGGAGATAATAGATTACTTAAACTTCAGATGATGAAACTTGAGAAGAAGAATCCCCCATAACGGTTATGAGCGAACATTATTAGAACAACAGGAGTGAAAGCGAAAATCTGGAAATCCGTTGAAAGGTACCACGATGAGATGTAACACTGTGGGCTCTCATTTAAACATCAAATATACTCTTATGAAAATACCGTATTATCTAGATCCTTGTAATTACTTATGTATAGAAAGTTTCTCCACCAAATTCGTTTGCAACTGTCCAAAGGGTAATATGTGAACTAAGGAGGAATTATCAATTATCAAGATATCCCCAATCGACTTACTGCTAAAACACTTTTTCGCAGAAGCTCAGGTGTTACCCACGTATGAAAAGCAATCACTATGTAATAGGCTGGAGATATTCTTTACAGAGGTTATATTCTCTTCAATTTTTTGGAAACCTCACAAGACGATGCAAGTAGTACATAAACCATCGAGAAATGGAGAAGGCAAAGTTCTTGTCTGTTTTAGCCTGACGTAAGAAAATTTGTTGAAGAAATAAATAGTGAAAGTATACCTGTTTGAAGAAGAGAAATCCAATGAGAAATCCTGTGATATAGAAGAAGGTGTCAACAGAGAAGTAGGCATTTACAAGCCACATCATGTTAAAGTCATTAGTGATATTTTTAATTACCAGAGAGTTATCTGAAAAGGTATGTAACAAGAAACAGGAGGAAGACGTTCTACCGCTCATCATCAGATAAACAAGAAGAACATGACCAGCTATAACCCAAGCTATCGTGAAAGCCCTGAGAAAATTTTTTTTTCTACAGTTCTCAATGAATAATCAAACCTCACTCCATTAAGCATGGTGATTTGCCCCGGTTTCTGTGTCGTACTGAAAACATCTCTTATATTGGAGTATAAGGAGAAGCACAGAATGCATTCAATCCAGAAATCTTGAAATTCAAAAAAATACTGTAAAACAACGAGAGTTTACTAAATTCAATTGCAGAGTGAGTCAGCTGTGGATCAACGATGTAATAATCTATAAGCGTTCCAACAAGTGATATTGTCAAACACGTTCCTAGAATTCCTCTGGAAAATTTCTATGAAGTGTCCTTTCTTACTGAAAGCATCTCTCTCTCTTACAGTACAACATAGCTGCCAAATGTCAGACGAGATTCCTCTTCCATACAGTGAACATCACAAACTTCGGTAAATGGAACGTCTGAAAATGAATGTTTACTTGATTGTTACTTTCTCATGCTACGTTTGTGAGCGAAAGACTGTAGCTCCTGTTCGCAAGATTTTGGAATACAAACATCCAGTCCTAACATTGGTTTTTCATAAAGCTGCTCCTGAACGCTGGATGCGCATCCCCTGAACTTTCTTATTACGATTATTTCTGATTGTTTGACTACACTTTGGGAATAGCTAGGTGTATACGACAATATGATCCTTGCAGTAGTCGTTGACGTGCTTGCATTTTCTGTGAAATGCTCAAACACTGTTGAACCAATCCTGTCCAAATAATTTTACCGTCCATCACTCCTGAAGGGATTTTCGTGGAAGCATCCATCACTAACGAAGAAAACTATTCAAAATATAATTTGAGATAATTACATTGAACAACGGTCATGTTCGACCGAAATTCCTTTTTAGCATTCTGTGCGATTTTGACAATTTCTTGCTCAAGATGAACAACGTCATCACGACATTCCTCACTCAGTCCTTTCTTATCAAGTTTACGAATGATGTCTTAACATACAACAACATCAACATGGAAATATGGAATTGAAGTCTATCTACCTTCCCAATCGATCTTCTGAATCTTCTTGGAAATCATCCAGATAATACTAGCTATAGCCGGAATACCATGAGCATCATCTGATTGTTTTCTAGCAATAACACAAACAAATAGGATAGAGATGAGAATAAGAGTTCGTATTAGAACCATTTGCGAACAAACGGTCAGCTTTCTAATCAAACTTATCTATGAGGTTGTATGAAAAACAACCTTTATGTTTTCTCATTTCTGCTGAAAGACAGAACAACAAGTTAAGACCAAAATGGCTTCGGTCAATTGCAATGACTAACACAGCTGTGTAGTAGAGGAGAGGAGAAGAAAGGGTGGACATTGCCTGAGCTTATCAATATCTGAGATTTGTAAAGCTTCATCTCATTCAAAATCCTTTCTTCATATGGAATTAGCATATGACTGCCATTTGGATGAAAGAAAATACATTTGAGACATTTCATCTCTCTAATAAAGAATATATTTTTGTCTTTTCTAAAAAGAACTGAATTTCGACAGCTCGTCTTGATTATATTTCCTGATGTTTAAGCTTGAACGAAATATTTCAAAAGAGAATTGTGAGTTAATCGACTGTTGATATGTTTCTTCTTGTTCAATTGCTTTTTCTATTTTATTTTATAAAATCTATAAAGTCTATTGATTGTTTTCAATGTGTTGGTGATTATGAAGGGTTACGGTTTGTTTTCTACAAATAACATCTATCCAATAACTGTTTCGTTTTTGTCAAGATGTACGCAGCCATGTAAAGGAGAAGTGTGTGTCATTTGGAAATGGAAAACAAAATCTGAGCTTTTGCTTCAGCAAGTTCGACATTTAGCCCAAAGTTGTTTTATACATTGTAATGCCATTCAGGGATGTTTGACAGGTGTGGAAAGACGATTCACGGCACGAATTGGTTGCCGAACTAACACTTTGGGAGCTACTCTCTGTGTTTGCAAGTAGCGTTTCTATTTTATATTAATTTGAATTATTGATTAGTTATCTATTCTGAAGATTATAATAAGTGACGTCAAGTATTCTCATTTACAGAATGATATGCTCAATGAACGGTTGTTCTGAATACTATTTGATAAAAACAAAAACTAATAATATTTGATAACAATATCTTCTTCTAGCGATGGTGATTTATGTAATCGGATAGAGCGAACTGAAAATGCAATTAGAAGCTTACCTGCTATCTCGACACCCAATGTTGAGTGTTCCAGTCGTATTGTAAGTCAATTAGATATGAAACATTCAGCTTATATGCATCTCAGACCGGAACTGATCTCTATGCATCCAAAAAGATTAACGTATGCAACTCAAATTACTGTCATATGATGAAAACAGAAGTATAATGAACTAGTCAAATTCTTCTTTCATCTTTACTCTTCAAGATATTCTATGATTCTATGGCTCCTGATGTCATCAGCGTTTACAATTGTGCGGATGTTGCGGAATTCGATTTCGATGTTCGTCTCAAGAACAGCGTGAACTTTCCGGGGTTATATCCCAACGGCTGCTATAAAATCCAAATCCAGCCGAATGAGGCTACAACGGATTGTACATGCTCTAAGGTTTACACTACAATATGAAACAATAATACATAATATTGTTGAAGAACAACTGCAACACTGGAATTCCAGTAGTATCTTCTGGACCTGTTCGATGTTATGTTGGAGATAATTTCGAGAATGACTCAACAGTAAGCTTAGGCAGCAAAGATCTTCTAGTAAAACTTCTAATCAGATTGACGAGGGGATGTACTGTAACGGTGATTACTGTTTCCTTCAGAAAATGAATGACAAATATGTGAAAGGCTGTCTATCTGTGAACGAAAGAAACACTTGGAGTCATATTAAGGTAGTTGTTGTAAATTCTTTATTCAAATGACATGATACCAACTTACTATTATAAATAAAAATGATATCACCTTGATGAAGTATTGTCACGTTGTAGCTGATAAGATTTGATCAAAAGACGTATTTCCGGAAATAATTTCTGAGAGTTCCATTGACGGAAAATCGTATGTGATAATTCATTCCATAATTGGAATGTTGCCATTACGATAACATTTTCATCATCTATCGCTTTTGCTGATAAATTATATTAAAAATCATTTTGTTTTCATATTGTTTGCAGATTGGCTACCGTCACATCGTTGGTACTGATCAATGGCTTTGTCAGTCGCATCTATGTAATATGGATTTCCATAAATGGAATCGTTCCATCACTCCACTTCTAAGTCCATTGAGCTACCGCTCTAATCATTCAATGAAATGTTTGTCATTATCCTTATTATTTATTATATTATTTATATTTTACAATTGAATACATAGTATGTAGAAGAGCAGTAAAAATTGAAAAAGAAAATATTATGTCACACATAGAGTTTTCATTCATTATTTTTCTTAAAATTTTAAATAAAATGAATGTTTTTATCCTAAGCTTCCTGTTGTTTGAAGAATTATGATAGTCATGACCAAAGTTATGGCTATTATACCAAATGTCCATGCACAAATACGATGCTTATTACGTTTTACTACATCTACTAATGACCATTTTGATCTTCTTTTAACATATGCTGAAAATGATTAATCAAATAATCAAAAATATAATAATATTTGTTTGTTTACTTACGATATGTGATTGGACGTTCATGATAGACATACATGCCTGGAGGCTCATTGAATACTTCAGATGTCGATAAGCCTCTGATTCTAAAAATAGAAAGGTAATGATGTGAAATTAAAGAAAAAAAAAGGTTTCAGCTTCTACTAACCTTACATTTGTCAACTCGTAAGCTGATAATGTCTGTGGATATGCATTTCTAATAGCTGGGTTTTGACGCTCAAACTGATATAAAGTGCGTGGCTGAGATGCTGTTGGAAGATTCGCCAAACAGACCGAAACAGATTTTTGACGTTTATTCTGAAAACCATGACTACTCTTTCAGTTTAATAGAGAATTGCTTACGGGTACTATAACAGGCATTTCAGCTGTTTCATCAATAACTTCATTATCGAAATAATGATGTATAAGAGATGTGGATCGTTTCTGATAATGAGGTCGAAAACGAGGATCCAAAGAGTTACTCTTCTTCTCTATTTCTGATTTTGCAGTCATTCTATAACATTATACTCATATAAAACTTGATTACAAAAGAAATACAAAAATGAAGACATGATTAAAGAAGAACAGAAAGCATTCGCAAATATCTTTTGAAGATTGTTTTTATGAGCTAATTAAGAAATAAATTTTGGGACGGAACGATTTTCTGATTGCCAACGGTTTCAATTTGCTTTTAAATCATTTTCAATTCTGTAGTCACGAGGTGTATCAATGCCTTCTGTTTTTATGATTTTTTAAAGTTTTTTTTCTTACTCCTTCAGCCCTGTTTTTTTTCTTACACGAGTATCTTACTTGGGCTGAAAGCTTACCTATGATTTTAAATACATTTTTTAAAAATCAATCTTTTGTCAATCATTCTTTCCTTTTATTTATTATGAAATATGTGAAAAAAATATTTGTCATGGGGCAATATCTTATGTTCGGAGATGAATGGAGCTGCTTCATTGGCACCAAACTGACAGATAAGGGTTTATAGAGAGGAAAATGAGCTAAACAGGTCGTCAATCTGTTGTTACGCTGTTGAAAAATCTGAAAAAAAGGAATTTTTTTCAACGGAGAGCATCAAAAAATGAATGAAAATGGGGGTGAAGACCGCACACACGACTGGCGTCAATTCAACTAATTATCAGCTTATCATTAGAATGAACGATAACGATTTATCCAATGACCGTTGAGAACGATAAAATCGGAGAACTATGAACTCGTTTACAGAAAATGAAAATTTTTCGATGAAGTTCAAGACATATGAGACTTAACAGAGAAATGGCATAAAGAAGATGATGACAGATTCTATTGAATAAGCTTCCGTGCTCTTATCTCTATCAATTGCTTCCAAAAATGGAAACTCCAATGCCCTCAAATCATAAAATGAAGCTTCTTTTTGTCTGATTAAGGTTACGCAATGATAAGGCTTGTAGAAAACTCGCCAGGAATCTGCAGAATAGTTTAAATTTGAAATTCTCTAAATATTCTGAACAATTATTTGAAACTAAGCTTTTGTATTTTTAATTTCTTGATCAAAACAAAAAAAAATGATAAAACATAATGAGATGAAGTGAAATATGATAATAAAAATCATAAAATAATAAAAATTATAATTAAAAGGATAATGAAATAATCTAATAGTCATTGATAAGCAGTTCACTTCGGTGAAAATGAAGAAATCACGAGATTTCATTCGTTGATCATCTTATTCTTCTCTTGCTCCATCATAAACTTTTTTTTTCAACGCTCTTGTCTAATTTAACGAAACGCTTTGATCAATCTTTAGATGTCTTTGAAATTGTCACTTTGAACAAAGCTTTTCATAAGATACAGCCATCTAATCTAATCATGTTGCTCGAGCCGTCTTGGATTTTCTTTGTTTCCTTCCAATGCTTCTGATTTGGATCATTTTTGATTTTCATGATAAGCTCATCATATCCACGTCTTCTTCTTCTATACGCGATATTTTGTGTCTTGATTCTGAAAACGTTTTGACTGATAGCTCCCGTATTTTGCTTGGGTGGCGATGATGATTTCTTGTTTTCTTTCTCTGTAATTACATAGTTGATACAATAGTTAAGCATTACTAACTTCTTCTTTGACAATCTTCATTGACTGTTGTCTTTCTCTGGTTGCGTTCATTCGGATGAGCTTTTGCCGTTTCTATAGAAAGTATTACATAAATACATATGTACATATTGAGAATTATTGAACCTTTCTGTAAAAACCTATTTTCCAGTACATCTCCTTACTATCACAGTTCTTGAAAAGATATACACTAAGAAGGAAAACCATGCAACAAATAAATACAATGAGTGTCAGTGCTGTTGAACTATTGAGCTGAAAAGAAACAGAGTGAGATCATCTGAAGAAAAAATCAGATCTTAGATTTGAAATATAAAAAGTATATTTGAAGTGGTTAAATTGATCAAGACAACTCGAGATTTGATCAACAGCAAGCGTTTTACATGTCCGTGGGTTATTAAGATGTATCACAACATGTGTTTGCGTGAAGGCATCATACTGCATAAGTGTTTTTCATTTTCAAACATGAGCAGAAAACCGAGCAGTTGTGTTTCTAGTTTCCAATTTATAACTGGATCCTTGCTGTGAGCAATCGTGCTTCTAACTTTCATTTTCGATATTAAGTCGCGCAGTGAGCAGTCGTGTTTCTAACTTCCAATTTACTTGATATTTTGCACTCTGAGTACTCATGGCATGTATATACATTTTCAAATGTTAAGAAGGCAATGAGCAATTGTGTTTATGCTTTGAGCTTTCATGTTGTGCTCTCTTTCAGTAAGAAACTGTCATCCCTGTCACATTGCACATCTTTCTAGCTCTGCATTGAGCAGCTCTCATATCTCAGTTTAGCTAAAAGCTGAGTTCAACTTCCAAATTAGATTTGTATAAATTGAAATTTCACACCTGACAACATTCTAAATGGCAGCAGTATTGCTCGCAGTAAAAGTAAATGTTCTCAATACTAGGATTTTCAATTGGTTTTTCCCAATCCAGTAGACGTGCTCGACAAATGTTCTGAAAATCAAAAATTGTCATTTTTACATTCGCTCTTGCTGAACCGTTTTGTTTCTCAAAAAATCGTTACCGCTGTCCGAATAGAAAAGATTATTAGGTTTACTTCGTATTCGAATCTTAAACAAAATTGAAAAGCTTAACAGAGCGTTTCTTCACTTACAACTTGCTCAGGAATATTCTCATCTGATTGAGAAAATGAGATAGGTATCCATAATCCGTATGGTGAGTAACTTCCTATAATCATCAGATGTTCTATAATCTTCATAAAGAATAATCTTACCTTCTTTATTGAGCGATGTTTTATCAACTATAATAGAATGAAAGAAATCAGGAACATTAATAGCATCACTGGAATGGACATGCATTTACATAATAAAGATTTAAGTTAAATAATTCGTACTCAATGGGCATAGATGTGGTTAATTCTGACAAGAAGAGAGGAATGAATAGATAGAATTTCAATACTTCTCCTGAATCAATGACTGAACCCATGAAGCAAAGCGAGTGAGTTGTTACATTCGTAAGACTTTAAACGTTTGAACATCATTCCTGAAGTTGCCAGCAGAAACGTAAGCGGAGGAAATTGAATCAGAAGTTAACCAGTGGAGCTAACATATATTTTGTGTTTTTTGCTACTGCCTTGTGAAATTTGGACAGGGAAGTAAGTATTCATATGAAACGCCTTGAGATAACACTTGTAGCTACCGTACTCCCACAGTTACCCAAATCTACGACTTGTTTTGGTTTTTTGTGCGCAAAATTTGATAAAGAACTAGTAGAAATTGATAAAGGGATCAACGGATATGGCCAATCCGGAGTATTCAGACTGAAGGTGAATACTGAACTCCTGGAAAAGATCACAAAGTGATCTTTACTTCTGGAGCTTTCCGTATTTTAATGCTCTTGCAGACACAGAGACCCGTGTTTGGAGGACTATCTCATAAATTTGTAAATATTAGAAAATTTCAGAAGTAAATGAAAAAAAGATGAGAATGAGGAACTTCTAAAAAGCTTTTGATGTGCACTCTAAGGAGAATTTGTTTTTCAGAAGAAACTAATTTTTGAATTGAAAATTTCTGCTTTTTCTTCTGTTTATGTAGATTTCGAGTGATATGCTTGGATCTATTTGGGAAACTTAATTTACACCTCAACCTACTCTACAAAACAACTTGGCTTCTTCCTCTTACTTCAAGGGAAATCAAGTTCTTCTCACTAAACAAATTAGCCGAATTGTCCTTATATGCACTTGCAGAACTCATCACATAGTTTGTCTTCCTTCCTTCCACATACTGCGTAAAGCTCTGTAGCACTTATACAATCCAGCTTTAATCTTACTCTTTTGCGAAGCATCATATTATCCCTCAAAAACAAGCTGAATATTTGTGAATATGTTTTCAGCAAACTTCGCACTACACTCGCTTGGATCAAAGGAGCTCACTAAACATACTATAATGACATTTATCTAATCTGGAAGTGTTTATAATAAATAAATTATATAAAGCTAATGAAAGTATTCCTCTGCTCTCCTCACTATAATGGTTGAGTACTCTGACTCTTACACCTTCCATAGTAAACAAATGTAGCAAAGGATTCAGCCGAGTCTTCTACATGAATCTGGGTGACAACTAAGAGGATCGATCTAACAAGAGCATGGGACTCCGTCCTAAATTACTTAATCTGGGATGGTCTTCACCACCGGGCCGTGGAGGAGGATATAGACGGTTAGAGGTCCAAAAACTTTTCTCACTGTTATTGCACTATAAATTTAAATTCATGTATAAAAAAGTTTTTATTTTTCTAGTTTTATGTATAGAACTGAATGAGCCAAAAAGTGAGCCAGGGAAGACATATACATATTATACTTAGACATTCGATGTCGAATTTTCTGGAATTCGACACGAGTACCGAAAAATTTAGACTATCCTCGGGTTTTCGATTCGAAAAATTCGTGTTGTTTTGTCGAAACTCGAACTTATTGAATAATTTGTGTCAATGTTGATAATTTTGGAAATTTTGAAAGTCGAAGTCAAGTCGGAAAAAAAAACACGGGCGCCTAAGTATATTATGTACATGCCTTTCTTGGCTCCCACGGTTCACTTTTTCATTAAAACGGTCTTATTGGATGAAGTATAAGATAGCTTGATTAAAACAATTTATTTTGCAACCTAATTTAACATAGTGGAGTATAATGAATAAGAGATTCTTAATCTTATTCCATCATTCCAAACACTTGATTAAATGTTTCCAAGCAGTCCTCCTTATCCTTAGTGTAAACTGGCTTGAAGATTGCGAACTCAAAACCTTTGTGTCTGAATCCATCAAGCATAATCTGTATATTTTCTGCAAGATGTTGGTCTGTGATTCGATCATTGCGCATATAATAAAATTGGCTGGCGGTTCGTGGTCCTGCTCCACGGCCCGGTGGTGAAGTCCATCCCAGATTAAGTATTAAAGGATGGAGTTCCTTTTTCTTGTTAGATCGATTCTCCTGGTTGTCACCCAGATTTATGTAGAGGACTCGACTGACTCCTTCGCTACATTTGTTCACTACAGAAGGTGAAAGACCTTGTTGGTTGGGCATACTGAAAACATTTCGAGGTTACATTTATTGAGTCAAAATATTTTTAAAAATTAGGGAACGAAAATTTGAAATGAGGTCTGTCTTAAAGCTGAAAAACGTGGTTGTGAGCTGGCCTATATATACAAGAAGAGCAGGAGCCGATAAGCTGGTACCTCTCTAATAAAGCCGTTATCAGTCAGCACTTGTAAGTCCATAAAGCTAGTGAATAAGAATTTTAAATCTTTATGACAAAATTATCGAATGATTAAGGAATAATTAATCTTCCTCAAGCTAATTATATCGTTAATTATTCCACTGAATAAGATATTTTACTGTCAGAATTACATATCACAAGACTATATTTGCATAACGGTATCTGTCGAATTGGAGCATTGAACAGTTCAGAATTTAGAAAGCGTATGACACTACTTCTGTCACATAATATGTACATACGAGATAAAACATTTTGTGATTTTTGATTGAATTTGTAAGATTTTGTGAATAATAAAATCAAGGATAAGCTTTTTGAGGAAGAACTAACTTTATAAAAAACGATGATAATGAATATCAGATCAAAAATATTCTGGAACAGAAGAAACTTTTGTCAAGTGGTTTGGATTTCCAGAAAAGTTTATTCATGGATTCCTGGAAGTTATCTATCAGACTTTGATAAATTATTTAATTTTGAAATATATTTTTCTTTTCTTTTTTTTCTTAAGTTTTGCAAATGGAGTCTATCGACCGAATTTTAGCAATTGCTATAATCCAATAATAAATGATACTTCAATTCCAAAAGAGAGTTCAAGAAATATTTTTCCATCTTCAAACTGTAACTCAAATCAAAATAATCAAATGTCAAATGAAACATGTAATTGAAATTTGTGATCAGTACCCATTGCTAAATAAGACGTTCCGTATAGAAATGTTATGCTCCTTAACGCTCGTTGATCCTGGAAGATCTGGCCTAATTAAAGAAATTCTAACTAATCATTCATTTTTTATTGTCGAATATGAATTAATGACATATAAAGTCAATTAATATAGAAATAGTAGAAAAGAAAATCCTATCTTTTTGTATTCTGATAGGTCATACTTATATTTGGATTTGCACAATGTTATAAGCTTCAATTGCTTTAACTCTATACTGACGTGGGTATTGTTAGCTCATGAAGTGGGCGAGCTGCTCACGGGAAATGATTTGGAAGTTTCCTCAAGCCATAACCTCTTTGACTTTATCTATATCGGTTTCCAATCTTTGTTGGGTCACAATGATATTTTGAAAAACTAAAATTAGTTTCCCAAATGTTGATGTTCTCAAACAGAAGAAGTTATCATTCAAATCTTCTTCTAACTGCCAAAGCCTTCTGAACTTAAATGTAATGGATTATTACAATCTGTAACTGTCGTATTCTCGCTTACATTTGGAGCAATTTGATTTTCATTATTTATACAGAGTTTTTCATTAAAAAATAAGTCAAATTTTCCAGTGTTTATAAGACAAAGGAGCTCACTGAGCCTAATATAATAAGAGTTATCTTATCTACAAGTGGAATGATTCGGAGAATATTTGATGTTGATAATAAATAAATTATTGAAATGAGAGTATTCCTCTGCTCTCATCACTATAATGGTTGAGTATTCTGACTGTCAACTGCATCTTCCATCAAGGCTACTGTCTTCTCGAGTAAAGTTTCTTTTATCTAAAGCAAAATGGGTTAGAATAATATTTTGTCTTGTAGAAACTTTTTCTGCTGATTCTGGGAACTTGTTGGATATAAATGTATAAATCTGGTTAACAAACATCAAGTTCATGCTAGCACTGAGAGGTGTGTAATACTTGTAGCCATGTTCAAGCTGTAATGAATTGTTGATTGAATCTTCTCTGTTTTCATTCTAGAAGTACCTGCTCATAACTGTAGGGCATTTCTCCATCTACTTCTTCTTCAAGGTAACTATAGAAAGTTTTCAACAAATCTTTATAATTCTTTCTACGATCCGATCCACTAAGGCAAGCGGAGATTACTCGGTTTATGTCCATAGCTAGTCCATTGAAGCTAGTAGCCTTAAATTTATAAAAAATTATTAATTTTTGACCACTTCTTCTCTTACTTGGAAATCTATGTGAGCCTTGATATCGAAAGCCCCATTCGTTTTTGTCCAAAGAATGTTGGTGCACCACAAGTCTCCATGACAGAGCACTCTCTTACAACCTAAACCCACATACATATGTGATGAAGAGATCATTAGAGCTTGTTTTACCTAGTTTATCAGAAAGAAAATCAAGTTTCGTGAAATTTTCCTTATTGCAGTATTTTCGCAAAACGTCAACGTACTGTTCTGTGATTTCAGAGTAATCAGGTCCCAAAAAGCTCCTGAAGCCATCGCCTGTACGTTCGATCATCTTAAGAACAACGTAACGATAATCACAGAAATTTCAACATACTTCTGCCGAGAAAACGTCTGAAAGGTTTTCGCTCATTGAAGTTTTAGTGAACTTATTTCTCTCTTCATCTGTCAGTTTCAAACCAACTGCTTGCCAAATGGCTATGGATCGTAACGCCTGGAGAGGTTATATAGAAGATGTTAAAATGCGAGGGAATACCTTTTTGATAGACTCTACATCAACAACGTCGTAAATATGACAAGAAACAAGATCATCGAAGTATTCCATTAGTATATATCCGCGTGTTTTGTTCTCGTCAGAGAACTTACGCGTGGCATAGATCTGCAAAACCCTTTGTTTCTATTTACATGAAGATAGATGTCTAACCTTTGGCAGTGGGATTCGTCCTTCATCGTACTTTTTTAGGATTTGGTAAGTATCAACTTCCGTATTGTGAATCTTAAAGATGTATGTTCTGTCTAATTTTCAATATAAGCATACCCTTGGGCCAACGATGAGAATCTTTTCGACAATACCGGAGAGATCTTCCTGTTTGTCACCATTTTGGCTGAACTCTATGAGAGCGAGAGCGGAACAGATCTATGAATGATGAGTTAAAAACATTAAAACCTAAAAATATTGTTCTCTTACTTTGGCGACAAAAGTTTTGGGCAAGTTGTCAGACCCATTTTGCCAATCAGGGTTAATCAAAGCAATACGTGAAACGAAGCCCTGTAAGATAGAAGAATGAATAAACTGAAAAAAAAACAATGCTCACGTTTCCTATTCCAATATCTTTAGCAGTCTTATTGGGTCCGAAAGTAGCAGTTGTTTCAAGAGATTTTTGCATCTGCTCTTCTATTTCCTCCCAATGGACATGGGTTTCTAGGATTCCGTCACTTTTCTCAGCTAAAGACATTTTGATCTGATCTGAAAACAAGTAATGTATGATAACATGACATCAGAAACAGAGAGAGATAAGGTAAAAGTAAAAGTATAGAAAGCATGTGTTGAAAGTGAATACAAAATCTGGTATATATATGTGCATTCGTCTGATATCTAAGTCTTCTATGACGTATGCGGCAATATTGCGCAATGTTGCTTCGGCTGAGATAGTTACCCTCGTGCTGTCTTCTATAATCAGTGTATGTTCGATGGTCTCAGAGTAATGCTGACAAAAGTTTTCGGTTAAATTTTTTCCTTATTTTTTTTTGTTAATGGGTTGTTGAACTTTATTAAATTTCCAATAGATGTATTAGCTGTAGCTGGAGAAAGTAAAAAGTCATTGACAGCTGTAGATGAGATGTTTCGTTTACAAAGATTGTTCAAACTATAGTATATTGTCTCAAACGCTTTCTTATCGTTTATATCACAGGAAAGCATATCTGGAAAACAGATAAGACACCTTTTCGACTACATCTCAAAAAGAATAGAAGCACATTAAATGAGAAAAAGTTTGAAAATAGAAACAGTTTTTCGTAATATTCATTTTCTGTTTGCTCTTCTCAGGTCTTAACGGTGCTATTTGACGAAGTCTGATTCACTTCAATGTGATCAGAGCTTCCATATCAAAACTAGCGAGAATTCTCTGTGAAAATTAGCTGATTGAAAGAAGATTTTTTTCATATTCATTAAGCAATTACTATTTTCACTAGCAATATTCTGTGATTTCTAATTCAAGACCATCTATTGAATTACTTGAAGCGTAGAGCACTTGTTCTCGATACAGTCATACCAATGGATATTTACGATAACATTCAACTGCATCTTCCATCATAGCTAATGTCTTCTCGAGCAGACGTTCTTTCATCTAAACAAAATCATTTGCGATTTAAACTTTTCAGTTTCCACACTTCTTCAACAGAATCTGGGTTTTCTCGAACAAAATGTGATAGCAATTGAATAACTGTTGATGTGACCAGTAAAGCTCCGAGAGGTAAGAAATACTCGTATGATTCGTTCAGCTGAAAATGATATTTGTTTACCATTTCCCTTATTTTCATTCAAAAGCGTTACTTGTTCGAATGTGTAAGGTAATTCTCCTTTTACTTCTTCCCTGAGATAGTCATAGAAAGTACTTAACAATTCTTTTTCATTATTCCTTCTGTCTGATCCACTTAAGCACGCCGTGAATAGTCGTGCCAGATCTAACGCACATGAATTGAAGCTCGCTGTCTGTTTTTGGAATATTCCAGAATGTTCAAGAGCTAAGGTTGTTAATACCTGAAAATCTATATGGGCACGGACTTCAAAGCTGTCATCCAGTTTATCCCAGAGAATATTTGTAACCCACATATCTCCGTGGCAAAATACTCTCTGATAACCTTTAACAAAGAAAAAAAACATGGAAGACAAGTTTTCAAATACCGAGTCTATCTGGAATGCAATCAAGGTTGTAGTAGTTTTCCTTTGTGCTGTATGCAAGGTTCAAGAAATTCACAAAATCATCAACAATTTTCGAGTTTTCTGGTCCACAGAAGCTATCCAATCCACTTTTGAACTGCTGGATAATCTTCAATAAAGTTGTGTTTTCTCAATTTGATGAGCTTTGATGTACTTCACAAGAAAACATATCTCCGAAAGTGTCTCCAATGAATGTGGTGGGAAAAATGCTTTTCTCCTCTTCTGTCATATTCAAACCAATCTCTTGTAGAGTCGCAATACTACGCATTGCCTTATATTTGGATGTTTAGAGAAGTTCTATTGTGTTTCAGGCAAACCTTTTTTATAGACTGAACGCTGATGTTATCAGTTAAATGACAGGGAGAAATATTTTCGAACAAATTCATCAGAAGGTAGCCTACCGTTGAATTCCCTTCTGTGTATTTACGTGAAGCATAGACCTATGAACAAACTACCATAAACAAAATGGAAAGAGTACTTACTTTTGGCACTGATATTCTGTTTTCGTTGTACTTATCCAATATTTTGTAAGTCTCGATTTCCATATTATGAACCTTCCAATGATATGAAATGACTAGAGAAGAACAGTCTTAGCATACCTTGGTACATAATTCAATAAGTTGCGGCAACATGGTAGGAATGTCAATTTTGATTGCTTGATTTCCACAAATATCTACTAGAGAGAGAGCGGTGGAGATCTGAACGGACAACTCAAGCTTATGGGACTTTCACTTACTTTTGCTACAAAAGCATCAGGCAGATCTTCGGATGTAGGTTGCCAATCAGGATATATCAGAGAAACTCGAGAAAGAAATCCCTAATGTCAACAAGTAATAATTTAAAAATAAGTTTCATACATTGCCTTCTCCTATGTTCCGAGCAGACTTGTTAGGCCCGAACGTAGCAGTTGTGCCGAAAGCTTTTTGCATTTTTTCTTCAACTTCTTCCCATTGCACATGGGTTTCTAGAATTCCATCACTTTTCTCAGCCAACGCCATGTTCTTCAATTACAAAACTATTATAACACGAAAGCAACATTTAAAAGTTGGTAGTGATATGAATCATTCATTACTGGGATAGGAGAATTCGAAACATGAAAAGACTGGCGACGCATGATGCGAAGTGCGAACATGTCGCCGATCATCTTATAGTCCTTGGCCAATGTTGTGCAA